CTATGTCATTATTGCAGTTATGAGGGTTATTGGGTCAGTGACGTGTTTATTCTATTACAATAGTATGTGTATATCTTTGGATTGACAAAAAACTGTGTGTGTGTGTATGTATTGCAGACATTTGAGTGGATACTTCTGTAAAATATACACCTTGTGGAGTGTGTAGAGCAGAGGTAGGCAACCCTGTTCTTGGAGTCCTGTACTGCAGGATTTTGTTCCAACTAGTCATCCACCACACCCGACCAACTGAGCTAAATGATCAGTTCAGTGATTGCCTAAATTCTACACACCTGGTCTTCCAGGTCGGTTTAATCAAAAACATGAAGTGCCTGCGGCACTCCAGGACCAAGGTTGCCTACCCATGGTGTAGAGACTGTTATCTATAAAGCCAACACCTCGGAGTTAAGTTGGTGGCTGGTTCCAGAGGGACCCATCTGCACAGCCCAACCCCATTTCAGCTAGACCTGAGAGCTGGTGAGATTTAGTTGCCCTGGATACACTGTGTCTGCATTCATGTGTTGTGAAGCTAATGCCATGTGCCCCAGGGAACCTTTTCCAAGATTGTCTGACTTGCATCTGCCTTTGACAATAGGCTGTAAGAGAAAGCCTCAGTGTACTATCTATCCATTGTTTAGGAAACATGTTTATAGAAAGATGTATCAAAGATTGTTTTCTAATCACAAGAAAGTAATGTATCATGCCGATATCTTTATTTTTTAGCTGCACATAGACTCTTTACAACCAGAAACGTCAGTTTAGAAATTCCCTTTATTAAGTCACTAATCTCATCTGTGTCATGTTTATAATAGGCATACTGTAAAATGTTAGTGGACTCTACACTTGGAAATTGTTTCCACCCAGTGGCGCAAGACAGTAACTGCTTCTATTCATTGTCAGTCTTGGTATCCTGGCCCTTCACATCTTCAATGTACGTTTCAGAAAAATGCATGGCAATTCCCTCTCCCTTACACTTACACACACACACCACCATACAAATACACTAACGCTCACAACTCCACTGATTAGAGAAAACAAGTAGTAGCAGTATCATATGGTATTAGTGGAGATCAGACAACAAATCAGATTAGAAAAGGGCAAAATGGCAACAAAAATATGATCTCATACGTTTAATAAAACGGGTGACATTACATTAAACTAAGCTCATAATGACCTTTCTTTTTATAGCCACGTTGGGATGCACTAATCTGATCTAGTGTAATCTGCTTCAATCTCTGATAAATGCTTACCACATGTATCTATCTGAACGGATGGTTCCTATTGGCCCATCCATAGCATCTGCTGTTCCTATAAAAGAGCCTTGCCACATGTTTATACTCTTTCTAGTATGTGTTGTAGCTGCGCTGTCCAGTATGTAATGACAGACATGCATGTTCAATTGTGAATTCATGAATAGGAATATATCCTGCTCATTACGTTGTCAAAGCCTTGTTATAAGTAACTTGGCAAATTCTTATATTACAAGTGACAAATTCTTATTACAGAGATACACTGAGTATACAAAACATTAAGAACACATGCTCTTTCCATGACATAGACTGACCAGGTGAAAGCTATGTTCCCATATTGATGTCACTTGTTAAATCCACTTCAATCAGTGTAGATGAAGTGGAGGAGACAGGTTAAATAATTTCTATGCCTTGAGACAATTGAGACATGGATTGTGTATGTGTGCCATTCAGAGGGTGAATGGGCAAGAAAAAATATTTAAGTGCCTTTGAACGGGGTATGGTAGCAACGTTGCTGGGTTTTTCACGCTCAACAGTTTCCCGTGTGTATCAAGAATGGTCCACCACCCAAAGAACATTCAGCCAACTTGACACAACTGTGGGAAGCATTGGAGTCAACATCGGACAGCATTCCTGTGGAACGCTTTCGACACCTTGTAGAGTCCATGCCCTGACGAATTGAGGCTGTTCTGAGGGCAAAAGGGGGTGCAACTCAATATTAGGTGTTCCTAATGTTTGGTATACTCAGCGTATACACTATTCTAATTGAGTACATATACTGGATCTTGCAACAGTGGTAGAACTGATCAGAGAGTAGGCTACATATATTGACTACACTACAGTATGAGGCAGGCAGGGAGGGATGTGTACTTGCAGTGGTCTGGACTTATTCTCCAAATAAGTTATACCCCATTCACTCTTTGACAACCTAGCTTACTGCATACATTTTTACTACATCGAATGCTCTATGTACTGTTGCTATATAGTTAACACTAACACATACTGTAGGTCAGGGTTCTTCAATTCCGGTCCTGGAGGGCCGAAACACCTCTGTTTATCATCCTCTCCTTCTAATCAGGGGCTAATTCAGACCTGGGACACCAGGTGAGTGCAATTAACTGCCAGGTAGAAATAAAAAACAGAAGTGTTTCGGCCCTCCAGGACCGGAATTGAAGAACCCTGCTGTAGGTGGTAAGTACACATACAGTGAGGGAAAAAAGTATTTGATCCCCTGCTGATTTTGTACATTTGCCCACTGACAAAGAAATGATCAGTCTATAATTTTAATGGTAGGTTTATTGGAACAGTGAGAGACAGAATAACAACAAAAAAATCCAGAGAAACGCATGTCAAAAATGTTATAAATTGATTTGCATTTTAATGAGGGAAATAAGTATTTGACCCCTCTCAATCAGAAAGATTTCTGTCTCTCAGGTGTCTTTTATACAGGTAACGAGCTGAGATTAGAAGCACACTGGTCATCCCCAAAGCCAACACCTCCTTTGGCCGCCATTCCTTCCAGTTCTCTGCTGCCAATGACTGAAACGAACTGCAAAAATCTCTGAAGCTGGAGACTCTTATCTCCCTCACTAACTTTAAGCATCAGTTGTCAGAGCACCTTACCGATCACTGCACCTGTACACAGCCCTTCTGAAATTAGCCCACTCAACTACCTCATCCCCATATTGTTATTTACTCTGCTCATTTGCACCCCAGTATCTCTATCATCTCTTGCACATCTATCATTCCAGTGTTAATACTAATTGTAATTATTTTGCACTATGGCCTATTTATTGCCTTCCCTCCATAACTTGCTACATTTGCACACACTGTATATATATTTTCTGTGGTATTTTTGACTTTATGTTTTGTTTTACCCCATATGTAACTCTGTGTTGTTTTTATCGCACTGCTTTGCTTTATCTTGGCCAGGTCGCAGTTGTAAATGAGAACTTGTTCTCAACTGGCTTACCTGGTTAAATAAAGGTGAAAAAAAAAAAAACACTCTTAAAGGGAGTGCTCCTAATCTCAGCTTGTTACCTGTATAAAAGACACCTGTCCACAGAAGCAATCAATCAATCAGATTCCAAACTCTCCACCATGGCCAAGACCAAAGAGCTCTCCAAGGATGTCAGGGACAAGATTGTAGACCTACACAAGGCTGGAATGGGCTACAAGACCATCGCCAAGCAGCTTGGTGAGAAGGTGACAACAGTTGGTGTGATTATTCGCAAATGGAAGAAACACAAAATAACTGTCAATCTCTCTCGGCCTGGGGCTCCATGCAAGATCTCACCTCGTGGAGTTGCAATGATCATGAGAACGGTGAGGAATCAGCCCAGAACTACACGGGAGGATCTTGTCAATGATCTCAAGGCAGCTGGGACCATAGTCACAAAGAAAACAATTGGTAACACACTACGCCGTGAAGGACTGAAATCCTGCAGCGCCCGCAAGGTCCCCCTGCTCAAGAAAGCACATATACATGCCCGTCTGAAGTTTGCCAATGAACATCTGAATGATTCAGAGGAGAACTGGGTGAAAGTGTTGTGGTCAGATGAGACCAAAATGGAGCTCTTCGGCATCAACTCGCCGTGTTTGGAGGAGGAGGAATGCTGCCTATGACCCCAAGAACACCATCCCCACCGTCAAACATGGAGGTAGAAACATTATGCTTTGGGGGTGTTTTTCTGCTAAGGGGACAGGACAACTTCACTGCATCAAAGGGACGATGGACGGGGCCATGTACCGTCAAATCTTGGGTGAGAACCTCCTTCCCTCAGCCAGGGCATTGAAAATGGGTCGTGGATAGGTATTCCAGCATGACAATGACCCAAAACACACGGCCAAGCAACAAAAGAGTGGCTCAAGAAGAAGAACATTAAGGTCCTGGAGTGGCCTAGCCAGTCTCCAGACCTTAATCCCATAGAAAATCTGTGGAGGGAGCTGAAGGTTCGAGTTGCCAAACGTCAGGCTCGAAACCTTAATGACTTGGAGAAGATCTGCAAAGAGGAGTGGGAAAAAATCCCTCCTGAGATGTGTGCAAACCTGGTGGCCAACTACAAGAAACGTCTGACCTCTGTGATTGCCAACAAGGGTTTTGCCACCAAGTACTAAGTCATGTTTTGCAGAGGAGTCAAATACTTATTTCCCTCATTAAAATGCAAATCAATTTATAACATTTTTGACATGCGTTTTTCCGGATTGTTCAAATAAACGTACCATTAAAATGATAGACAGATCATGTCTTTGTCAGTGGGCAAATACTTTTTTCCCTCACTGTACTGTATCTCAGTATATTGTTGTATTCTGCCCCCTGGTGGTGAAACCAACCTAGAACGGGCTATCATCTAATTCTAACTTGAGTTTGAGACAGTAATGATCAAGGCTTATTGACAGTTTTTTTGCTGATAAAATAACCCATATCCATATAACTTGTTCACAAAGTGCCTTAAAAATTATGCTTTTAAACATTTCATATTATTTCCAATAAGTACCATGACAACAAAGGGACATTTTGTCCACACTCATATATTACTCTAAAGTATTTAAACAATATTTAAACATCTAACAATTAGTTCATTTTGTCTTCCTGCAGTCCCACCTGAAGTGTTCTTTGTCTTTGGTTAGTGTGTGTGTGAAGTGTTTTAAATGTTTGCATATTGGTTAGTGTGTGTGTGAAGTGTTCTATATGTTTGCATATTGGTTAGTGTGTGTGTGAGTGAAGTGTTCTATGTGTTTACATATTGGTTACTATGTTTGTGAAGGCTCTTGACTGGCTCTGGATGCCAAGGCCAGCAGGGTGACACTGTATACCTCTGTCTCGTCTCCTCTCAGGGTGAGGGGCGCACACACCTGCACCACCTCATTCGGCTGAAATCACACATACAGACGCACACACCGACACAGACACACACGATCAGATTTAAATCAACAATCAGTGGAGGATATACAGTGCATGTGCAAATACAATAAGAGGAAAATATACATTTAGTAATGTAGAAAGCCACATGAAGGAACAGGAAGTGTAGTTTGTACGTTCTCTTCACACTGAGACTTTGTAATACATATGGACTCTTTTTGTATGCAGTTATGGCTTCACTTGATTTGCAAATTTTCTTTGGTGACTGAAGTATGTCAAAACAAAAAACGACCATCCTATGCATATCTAAGGGAGTGAAATAACTAAAACTCTATTATACAGAATACCTTGACAGCTTGCGGTGTCTAGTACAGGGCTCTCCACTCTGGATGTGGAAAGCTACCGTACTGTAGGTTGTCACTCCAACCCTAACCTAGCACATCTGATTCTAATAATTAGCTGGTTGTTAAACTGTATCAGGTTAGTTACCCTGATTGATAATATATCTGAATGGGTGGCGAACATTACACTATACTGCACAACAGAGCAGTGTTTCTCAATCCATTCCCGGGGGACCACTAGAGTGTGCACATTTTTGTTATAACCCAGAGCTAACACACCTGATTCAACTAATCAAGGGCTTGGTGATGAGTTCATAAATTGAATCCGGTGTGGAATTGCTGCTGGGCTAGAACAAAAATGTGGCCACCTTGAGAAACACTGTCCTAAAGTACAGGTAATGGTATGGATAAACACCATTCTAGATCTGTCCATTCAGGAGATTAATGCCAATTCAATTCATGAATTGAAAAACTTTCAGCCACATTTTCCTCATGAGATTATTTTCAATGGATGAATTGAACTAAACCCAACCCCACGTATACGGTGCATTCATGATGAGGCTTTGAGACGGCTGTCGCACCTTAAGGCCACTAGGAGGAGTCCAGATCACAGTGATGGTGCGTCTGTGGCCGGCGTCCACCGTGCCCCTGGTCGGCTCCACACTGAAGCCCCTCTGTTGCAGCGCCTGAAGCCCCTCCCAGCTGAACTCCACGTTCTGGACATGGACGGGGGAGGGCAAATTTCACAACATAGGTAAGGTCAACACAGAAGTAGAGAGGAGAGGGAGGAGAAGTCGTGTTGTGGTCATGCGGTCCGATTGTATACTCTTCTCCCCTAAATGTTCAGTTGCTCACTCCATCTCATGGAATTAAAAGCATGGGATCTTTGTCAGAAATATGGTGGAAACTAACTCCCTAGCCCACGCTTACACGAATCCACTGCTTTTGAATCCATGAGAGGGAGTGAATGAGGGGAGTGGTACACACTTTGGGAAGACAGGGAGAAAATCGGGCCGCAGCCAATGTTAGGATCTCCAAATGAATCTGAACTCATCCTAATGACGTTATTTCAACTAGATTTCAATCTGTTTTAATTATGTTATTTAAATAAGATTTCAAGCTGTTTGTAACTACATTATTTTAACCAGATTTCAACCTGTTTGTAATGACGTTATTTAATCCAGATTTCAACCTGTTTCGTAATGATGTAATTTCAACAAGATTCCAACCTGTTTATAATGACATAATTTCAACCACATTTTTACCTGTTTGTAATGATGTTATTTAAAACCGATTTCACCCTGTTTGTAAGGCTGCTGCTGCTGCAACCAGTGAGCTAGCTGTGACCCTGGTCGTGTGCATGTGTGTGTGTTTACTTTATTTAAAGTGAGGATGTTGTAGCCAAAAGTCTCCAGAAGAAGTCTACCCCCTTGTCTTTGAATTGTAATGAACAGCATTAGTATAAGTATTAGCGTTAGCATTAGCCTACCTTCTTGGCCACAGGCTGTGTGGAGCAGATGCAGCCCACCTCCAGCTCTCTGACCGCTGGGCTCATGGCCCCCTCTCTGTAGACCCCTCTGAGGGTGAGCAGCACAGGCAGAGGGGGCTTCTCACAGTCTACTACAGGGAGAAGAGAACAAATCAAAAATCTAATACAATTATATTTGTCACATGCTTCGTAAACAACAGACAGTAGACTAACAGCGAAATGCTTACTTAGGGGTCCTTTTGCAACAATGCAGAGTTAAAGATTAACTCATTAAAACAAAATATATAGTGACATGAGGAATAAATACCAGTGAATAACAAATAACAATAACAAGTAAAAATAACATGGCTATATACAGGGAGTACCAGTACCGAGTCGATGTGCAGGGGTATGAGGTACTTGAGGTAGCTATGTACATATAGGTAGGGGTAAAGTGACTAGGCAACAGGATAGATAATAGACAGGTAGCAGCAGCGTGTGAAAGTGTGTGTGTGTGTGTGAGAAAGTGTGTGTGCACATGTTATGTGTGTGTGGGCGTATGTTGTGTGTGTGTGTGTGTGTGAGAAAGTGTGTGAGAAAGTGTGTGCACATGTTGTGTGTGTGTGGGCGTATGTTGTGTGTGTGTGTTGGGGTGTCAGTATGAGTATGTGGGAGTGTGTGGGTAGAGTCCAGTGTGTGTGCATAGTCAGTGCAAGAGAGTTAGTGCAAAAAAGGGTCAATGCAGGTAGTCCGGGTAGCCAATTTATTAGCTATTTAGCAGTCTTGTTTAGCTTGGGGGTAGAAGATGTTCAGGGTCCTGTTCGTTCCAGACCTTGTGGTAGCATTTCATGGCTATAGATGTGAGTTTTACGGGGAGACAGTCATTTAGACAGGTTACCTTGGCGTTCTTGGGCACAGGGACTATGGTGGTCTGCTTGAAACATGTAGGTATTACAGACTGGGTCAGGGAGAGATTGAAATTGTCAGTGAAGACACTTGCCAGCTGGTCAGCGCATGCTCTGTATGCATCCTGGTAATCCGTCTGAATATTAACCTGTTTAAAGGTCTTACTCACATCGGCTACGGAGAGCGTGATTACACAGCTGTCCGGAACAGCTAGTACTCATGCATGGTTTAGTGTTGCTTGCCTAGAAGCAAGCATAGAAGGCATTTAGCTCGTCTGTAGGCTTGCATTGCTGGGCAACCCGCGGATGGGTTTCCCTTTGTAATCTGTGATAGTTTGTAAGCCCTGCCACATCCGTCGAGCGTCAGAGCCGGCATAGTAGCATTCGATCAGCTCTTGCCTGTAATCCATGGCTTCTGGTTGGGGTATGTATGTAGGGTCACTGTGGGGACGACGTCATTGATGAAGCCGATGACTGATGTAGTGAGTGAGTGAGAGAGAGACCTGTGAGCTCAGAGTCCCCGGAGGCTGGCAGAGGGTGGACGGCATCAGTGGGCACTGCCAGCGGGTCTCCTCCACATAGGTACATGATGTGAGAGCGAGCTGCACCCTTCAGCACCATGACACACACTGTGCTCTAAGACAAGGAGTGGCAGGGTGTTAGAGCAAAAGTAGTGCACTATATATGGAATATATAGGGAGAAGGGTGCCATTTAAGATGCAGCCACTATGTCATGAAAGCTGGATGATTCTGTGGTACCTTGTTCATGAGCTCCACCTTCAGTCTGTCCGAGTAGTGGAGGCTCTCGTGGTCTGGCAGGAAGGTCACAGTGATGTCCTGGCTCTTTCCTGGGGCGATGGTGCCCTCTATGGGCGTCACACTGAACACACTCCGACCACTGTAGTTCTGGGTCCCTGGCCACGGGGAGGTGGGAGAGAAAGAAACCAAGATTATTAATTCATTTAACAACGTAAGCTTCAGAAATAATTAAACATAATTAGATTTAATATAATGCTGCATCAGAAAACGCTAGATTTTTTTTCTCCAACAAATGATAGCTAACACTAACTACAGAGACTGCAACAGCTCATGGCATTAGCCCCTAGTTCTGAGTGAGAGATGTGGACCTAGGTCGGACGGACAGGTCTTACCCACAGTGGGGTGTGTCTGTTCCTCTGGGCCTGGGCTGAGGAGGGCAGGGAGGCAGTCTGCTCCACTCTGGGCTTTACACCCCAGCGACAGGCTATCCAGCAGCACAGAGAAGCGCACCGCCAGAGACGACGTGTTCTGCAGCTGAAGACAGAGAACACAGCTTTCAATATCACAACTTCATTGACATGGCATCAGGTGCAGTACAGGCTAAGTAACCTGCTGCTGTATAAGTACACAAAGTAAGCCTAGTCCGAACTAGCCTCTCTCCTGTTTCTGTAGCTTGAGGCAGCTTGATCTACAAGTACACCCCCCTGGACAAGGTGCTAGTTGCTGCTGGCTAACTGACCTTAAAGACCTGGGAGGCTCTCTCCTTCTCCAACAAGTAGCCAAAGTCCATGAGGCCACCCTGGTGGGAGGAGGTGACGAGGGGATCCACTCCCACCCCGCACAGCGTGACCTCCAGGGTCATGTTTGGGCTGTGGATCTCCACAGTCTCACGGTACTGTGAAAGGAGCCACAGCATCAGTCATAGGGAACACAGCATGTGTGTGTGTGTGCGTGCGCATGTGGCGTGTGAGGGAGAGTGTCTGTGTGTGTGCGTGTTTGTTTTCAGGTCCATTAAGTGCAATTGACCCACCCTTTTCCCCAGTACGGGTGTGAAGGCCAGTAACAATGTGTGTGTGGCTCCAGGACCCAGCCGTCGCAGAGCGTTGAGGAGGGAGAATGGACCACTCAGGTCCAGCACTGAGGACCTCAGCTTGGCAAAGGGTTAAAGAAGAGTAGTCAGGTAACAGCAATGTTTGAATCCTACCTTCTAAGGGACCTGTTCAGGACGGTGCAATGGGTGAAATGTATTGTGTACAGATACTCTTGTGTCACTGTTCTGCAAGTGTTTTCTCAGATCAAGTGTAAAACGTGTTTTATTGCATCATCCCCAAAGCCAATTTTTTTAAAAGTAATAGTAAAATCAAACTTTCAATTATGCAATCTTTCAACCAGTGGATCTGTGGAACAGATATGATTGTCCGCATGTAAAACAGGGAATCATGTCAGTTCTATTCATAATCTGTTTCACCTCACTGAATACTGTATAACCTCTGGTTTCTAGGTCTGATGTGTCTACAGTTGTGGTCAAAAGTTTTGAGAATGACACAAATATTAATTTTCACAAAGTCTGCTGCCTCAGTTTTTATGATGGCAATTTGCATCTACTCCAGAATGTTATGAAGAGTGATCAGATGAATTGCAATTAATTGCAAAGTCCCTATTTGCCATGAAAATTAACTTAATCCCCCAAAAACATTTCCACTGCATTTCAGCCCTTACACAAAAGGACCAGCTGACATCATGTCAGTGATTCTCTCGTTAACACAGGTGAGAGTGTTGACGAGGACAAGGCTGGAGATCACTCTGTCATGCTGATTGAGTTAGAATAACAGACTGGAAGCTTTAAAAAGAGGGTGGTGCTTGAAATCATTGTTCTTCCTCTGTTAACCATGGTTACCTGCAAGGAAACACGTGTCATCATCATTGCTTTGCACAAAAAGGCCTTCACAGGCAAGGATATTGCTGCTAGTAAGATTGCACCTAAATCAACCATTTATCGGATCAAGGAGAGAGGTTCAATTGTTGAGAAGAAGGCTTCAGGGCGCCCAAGAAAGTCCAGCAAGCGCCATGACCGTCTCCTAAAGTTGATTCAGCTGTGGGATCGGGGCACCAACAGTGCAGAGCTTGCTCAGGAATGGCAGCAGGCAGGTGTGAGTGCATCAGCACGCACAGTGAGGCGAAGACTTTGAGGATGGCCTGGTGTCAAGGGCAGCGAGCAAGACACTTCTCTCCAGGAAAAACATCAGGGACAGACTGATATTCTGCAAAAGGTACAGGGATTGGACTGCTGAGGACTGGGGTAAAGACATTTTCTCTGATGAATCCCCTTTCCGATTGTTTGGGGCATCCGGAAAAAAGCTTGTCCGGAGAAGACAAGGTGAGCGCTACCATCAGTCCTGTGTCATGCCAACAGTAAAGCATCCTGAGACCATTCATGTGTGGGGTTGCTTCTCAGCCAAGGGAGTGGGCTCACTCACAATTTTGCCTAAGAACACAGCCATGAATAAAGAATGGTCCCAACACATCCTCTGAGAGTAACTTCTCCCAACCATCCAAGAACAGTTTGGTGACGAACAATGCCTTTTCCAGCATGATGGAGCACCTTGCCATAAGGCAAAAGTGATAACTAAGTGGCTCGGGGAACAAAACATCAACATTTTTGGTCCATGGCCAGGAAACTCCCCAGACCTTAATCCCATTGAGAACTTGTGGTCAATCCTCAAGAGGCGGGTGGACAAACAAAAACCCACAAATTCTGATAAACTCCAAGCATTGATTATGCAAGAATGGGCTGCCATCAGTCAGGATGTGGCCCAGAAGTTAATTGACAGCATGCCAGGGCAGATTGCAGAGGTCTTGAAAAAGAAGGGTCAACACTGCAAATATTGACTCTTTGCATAAACTTAATGTAATTGTCAATAAAAGCCTTTGACACTTATGGAATGGTTGTAATTATACTTCAGTATACCATAGTAACATCTGACAAAAATATCTAAAAACACTGAAGCAGCAAACTTTGTGTAGACCAATACTAGTGTCCTTCTCAAATCTTTTGACCACGACTGTAGATTAGCCTTAAAGCTATATCATACTATACTAGCTATATACACTAGGTGTATCAATGACACAATGGGCCATGTGATGTTATATCGTTTTTTTATACAGGCTATATCAGCACCTTTCAACCAGTACATAGAGAAAGACTGAGGCTTATTCATAACAGCTTTTTATAAATCTACCACTTTATCGTTGAAAACCAATTAAATAATAAATCAAGTGGATTGATGCATGCATCATACTCAGAATGTCAACATGTTATTAGAACGGAAATAGTTTTTCATTCTTAGCACCATGCAGTTTTTGTCTTAGAAAAACTGGTGGTAGAAATTCTGCGGTGGTAAAGATTCATGAGTAAACGCTACTGACTTTTCTCACATAACCACAGATAATCACACTCTGGCGATCTAGGTCGTTTGTGCATGTTGTGACCCAGAAAAGGATACCTCCAAGGCTTCCTGAGAAATATTCTGAACAGTGAGCTTTTTGACCACTTTCTGACCTAAGTGAACAAAAGAAACACAGAGTTGACATAAGTAGCGATATAGTCACAGGCAAGGGCAAATAGGGAAAAAACTTCCAATGTCAGAATCAGACCTGGGTTCAAATACTACTTATTATCTGTCCTTGATTGAACTCAAAATATTAATGAACCAATACAATTGTCCCAAAACCACAAACTCTGTCCATCTGGCACTCCATGCAGGCTTAAGCAAACACTCAAAGTATTCGAAAGATTTCAAATAGTATTTGAACCCAGCTCTGGTCAGAAGAATACATTTGAATGGACTGACCCACAGCCACCTGGTTGTAGTTGATGGTGGTCTGGCCGTTACTGGACGTGACAACTAGAGGGGGCCTGACAGCTGGGCAATGCAGCTCCAAGTACAGCGTGTTGAGGGGGCTGCTGGGACAGAGGATGGCTCGTCAGCATTACAACAACAGAGGCAGTGGGAAAACACTTCAACCTGTTCTCTCCACATTATCCCCACTAAATGAATGTGTGTAATTGATTCATGTAATTAATAATTGGGGGGGCTGCAGCACATAAAAATGAAAATAAGGTTGATATTGTATATAGGATCTGCATGGAGTTGTAGTCTGTACAGTATCCTACCTGTAGGATGGCTGGGCCTGGGGGTCACTCTGGGGTGGGTCTCTGTCAGACACGAAGCAAGGGATGACATAGCGACTGTAGTGCTTAGGGAAGGAGTGCAGGAGGGAGTTCCTGCCTGCAGCGTACTCCTCAGACCTGGGAATAAACAACACTAACTATGGACGCAATCCTAACCCTAAACATATCTTGATTACATTTTTCCTGACAAATCCCATTGACATAAATGGATGATTTGGGCAAAAATCAGTTGTGTCTTCGAATGTGTGTTGCTTAGGATTATGCCCAATGCCTTTAACAGTCATTATTTCATAGAGAAGACAAAATACATGACTCAATAAACGCTAAAAAGTAAATGCACTAAACGCAGTGCAAGGTGTGAAGCAGATGGTTAAATGTAATGATGTCATATATATTTCAGTAGAGTGTGTTGCTTGCAATTAACCTCTGCCTAAGTTTCGTACTCTTTAACATAGAAAGCTTTTAGGAGGAAGTTTACCTCAGCATTAAGTAAACATTTATGGTACGTTTTTGATTTGTCACTGAAATATGTGATAATCAATGAGGGGCTCTATTCGTTCTATGGAAAATAATCAACGACGTGGAAGGTGTGTTCCACGACGCGCTAGCTGACCTTCCACGCAGTTGCATTATTTTCCAGAGAACGCATAGAGCCCCGAGTTGATTATCAATTCTATACCATGGCTATAATTAAACACATTTGCCACTAGAGATGTGTTAATTTGAAAGTAGAAATGTGTTCAACATCCACTGAAGTAGCTAGCAAGTTTACTAGATAGCTACAGTAGTTGCCTTGGTAACCAAACAAACATACTAGTTTAGCTAACCCAACCATTAGTCCTAGCTTGCTATTATGAAAATCTAATTCAACAATGCCAATAATGTTTTCAATTCGACTTTTGCTTTAAAAAGCAGCTCATAGAACATGTAAGAATTAACTATATGATGGGAGTGTCTGCTGGATGACAATGCAATGTAATGTTGAGCGGCTTCACTGCAGGTAGATTGTATGTTTTAAAATTCAATAAAATTCAATAGAAATAATAAAAAATAATAAGAAGAATGAACTATAGCCATTGAATACCATGCTGATATACTGTGTGTTATAGGGAAACAATGCACGCTCTAGAATGCCCTTCAAGCCAATCAGAAACAAGTATTCAACAATGATGCCATGGTATAAGAATTAATGTATGCATGGTATCTAAGTGATAGTTGTGGTGGTGTAGATGAGCTGTACCCTGACTGTATGTCAGCTGGGTTGGGGGCTCTGAAGGGGCTGTCTGTTTTAGGGCTGATGGACACTTTGCTGATCTTCTCCTTCAGGGCTTGCTTCGCCTGGGGCCGGGTAGGGGGCGGCTTCTTGCCTTTCTGGGGGGCTGCAGGGGCCTCCCTTTTACACTGAGTCAGCACACACATACAGTACACATTAACAATAATGTGCACACACAAGTGCGCGAATGTGCGCGCACATACGAACACACACACGGTCAAAGTCAAACACATGGCGGCAAGATAACATTAAAAGGATAGTTCGGGATGTTTTGGTAATGAGGTCTTTTATCTACTTCCCCAGAGTCAGATGAAGTCGTGGACACCATTTCTATGTCTCTGCGTGCAGTTTTAAGGAAGTTGCTATCTAGCGTTAGCACAATTGCTAACTAGCGTTAGCACAATTGCTAACTAGCGTTAGCACAATGACTTCCAGTCTTTGTGCTAAGCATACAATATTGACCAGGCAGACTCATCCAACTTTTATGAGGAGGATGGAGTGACTCCAGTGATTGAGGCTTACCGGCCCCTCCTGCTCCCCTCCCTTCCTGTTGCCCTCGGCCTTGGTAACCCTCTCCAGCTCGTGGAGGCGCAGCTCCTCGGAGCGACACAGCAGCCGCACCGCCTCCTCCCTGATGACCTGGTCACACAGCCTGGGCCTGAATGTCACCTGCACCAGGCACCTCTGGGAACAGAGTAACGAACCAGTCAATTACCTAATGATGTGACCAGTCAGGTTATTATTGCAAAATAAAATGTGTTCTCAATGGTTAAATAAAGGTAACATAAATAAACAATGCAGTCATCAGGACAGAGTATACACTGGAATGGAATAGAATAGAGAAACTACATAATATGCTAGGCCTCATGACAAAGTGTTCAAGTAAAGTGGAAGCACACTGCTTGTTGGTAGATTACCTGTCCAGGTAAGACCCGGCCTGTCCTGGGGGTGAGGCTAATCTCTGTGTTTTCGGGGGGAGTGAAGGCGAACAGCCGGGGGCCCACTGGGACAACGGGGTCCCGGCCTATGCGGGGCACAGGGTGTGTGAACTCGTTGCGGCTGGTGTGTGCGTTGACCACGTGCAGCACGGCTGTGGAACAGTCACCGACCGCCGTGCCGCCGAACTGGACCAGAGAGTGAGACAGCTCTAGCGGAGGGTGTACCCCGACCGCATGACATGACAGGGGGAAGTCTCTATAGCAACCATGGGGGAAAACACAAATAAAACACATTAAAAGTAATGCAGTGAAATATACTTGATAGCGCTCAATTTCGTGACAGGACAAGGTGTAGGAAGGTACAAAACCTTGATTACCTGTTAATTCCGGATTTGCAGTTGAGCTGAAAGCTGTACTCTCCTGCCTTCTTGGCACTAAAGATCAGATCCACCTCCAAGGTTTCCAATGGGAGGAGAGTGCCAAAGCCGTCGTTGGGCTGGACCTCCACAAACTAGGAGGAGAAAAACACTGCTCAACTGCTCAGGCCATCCAAACACGGTTTTGTCCTTAGTCCTGACTGACTGAAACCAGAAAACCTCCATAGGGCCGGATGAGCTATTCAGGATAGGTTTAGGTGAGATCATAAAGGTCTAAAGCCACAAATATAACAGCAGACACAGAGTCAAATACATCGAAATATAATTAATTATAATTCAATTGTCAGATATCCCTTGCTGGAGAGTACAGCATAGGCCAAACTGGCACATCAGAACAAAACCAGTAGAGTCCAAATGAATAAACAGAAGTGTCTCCTATTGATGTTTTATGATGATGACTTGATTTAGCCAAGGTGGAATAGTGGACTATAGAGATGCAAACAGTAGGAAATTAGGTCAAAGGTCAGTCCATAGGGATGCTGTCCATCAGGTAGATGGAGGCCGTACCTGAGGTATGCCCAGAAAGCCAAAGTCCTGGGGCAGGAGGGCGAGGTTCGTGAGGCGCACGCTGGTCTTCACTGATTCGTAGATGGAGCAGTGGCCAAAGTCCACCTCTGTCCGGTCAAAGCACAGGTCGGAGGAGGTGATGACTGCATGGACCGTGAAGGGAACAGGCCGGACCTGAAAGCCCAGTGAAAGGAAAAAATTCTTAGAGTATTTCTGCCTTATTTCTGTTCTGTTTTGTAATATCCTATGCGGTCAATGTCTTTTATTTGCAAAACAACCGTGCCGTGCGCAAAAAGACTCTGCATAACTCACATTTGGAACTTCAACTTGTATCTAGAGGCTTTTTATGATGCTTATTCATTTAAGCAGTCATGGGACCTATAAATAGAATTCTATGGGCAAATATGTATGTGTTTCAATCCCAATAGGTGCACTTGATTTAGCTCGCCTGGCACAATTAAAACAACAAAATAGTCAGAAAAGTGAAAACCCTGCCCACAAAGCCCACCGGGAAAGCTAAATCAAGTGCACCTAAAGTAATAGAATAAAAGCAAATCCATTAGTGACCCAGGTGGAACAAGTAGTTTAGTTTCATAACAAACACAATCTGTTGTCCTGAGAGCAGCGTTCCTGTTCATGTATTAATGTCCTCAGCCGTATCTGGGTGCGGCAGATTTCCTTGTTTACCCGGTCACGCTTTCCGCACGGGCCCTCTCCTGGCCAGAAAGGGCCTGGTGGCCAGAGAGGGAGGCCTGGAGGGGAGCCAGGGTTAAGGGTTCAAGGCTGGGGGCACAGCTTTGGGGCTCTGCAGGAACATCCTGCTGGCCTGCTTTTGGCTCTGTGAGAACTTACTGCCTCCAAATCCTCTACGCTCCTCCCCAGTATAGGGGTGTGGGTTTGAGAGAAGGGCGAGGGGGCATGCGGGGCAGGGTGGGTAAGGTGATGATTTGGCTGAAAGAGTGTGACTGCTGGCCAGTTTGGGGGATTTGATGACTGGGTAACACAGCACAAATGTGGCACGAGTGTTGGGTCGGAGCCTGTTTTGTGTGTTGGATTTGAGTCTGCTGTTACCCCTGCTGTTGAGTCTGTGTGTGTGTGTGTGTGTGTGTGTGTGTGTGTGTGTGTGTGTGCGTGTAGAAAGGAATTTAACAATCCCTGATGTACTTACTTAATACTTCACTTGGATAACTATAAATTCATAAAACTTTTGACTTTACTATTTTCATATGGGATATCCAGACTAATCCCTGGAGCATCACAAATCAGTGCTTGAAAATAATCCCTTTATGATTTCCAGTTGTATTATCCGATCAGCAGTTTACGTGCCAAACACCCTGAATGTAACCGTTTCACAACTGAAAGCTGAATAGAAATAATATAATTTTATTCTGTGATAAAATTTCATATATTTTGAATCTATTTTAAAAAAGAGCTCAAATTGAGTGGAAACAACAGGGAAAACAAAGAATCCAAATTATATTATGGAGACCTTTTCAGTAAAACAACATGTAATAACCTTTATGCTTGGCTCATTAGCACTCATGGAACAGTGCAGGCCTTGGGGTGGTAGATAATTTTAGCTTGCTACCATTAAAATGGGTTAATTTAAAACCTTCTGTGCTTCTGCCCTTCATGGGGACCTGCAGGTTTGCTACTCAACGCTTCCCTGTGGATTGAGAGGGGCTGTTGTACTGTATGATACCTCGTACTGTAGACTGCGGCCAGAATTCAATCATCGCATATTGAACATTTCCACAATGGGATCTTTCGAAAGCTGTTTTTGCAGTATTTGAGGCAAACTCATCTCCCAAATTGCTTCCCTCTGCATCCCTGGCTGTGTCCCTTTTGTCGACATTTTCAACTGATAATATCAGTGGTAGCTGACTGATACAGATTGTTGACTTTTTGTGCACTTTGAAATAACACAATTGAATTCTTGCCTGTAAGTTTAGAGCTTATCAGTGCAACAAACCTGATCGGCCACTTCCACTGTCAAGGGGACTTCCAGCACTCCTGTTTCGCCGTCAAAAAACATCTTTGCATCCTCGAACAAGGAACGTCTAGGGGGGAAGAACAGGGTAGTGGGTATAAGAATACAGGAAATCATTATACTGTACGTTAACTCAGCAATATGACACCATCATGCATAGTGGGGCAACTTCCTGCTCATGAACAACAACAATATGTCAAGGCTGCCACTAATGGGAAGAGCCAATGGTAGCAATCTTGTTAGATTATAATTTTGTTGTTGACTTCCTTCTGTAAGTCACCCCGCTGTGTATGATGTCATATTTCAGAGTTTACCTTTAAACATTACATCAGTACATATGTCCCAGCCCCCAACAACTGGGAAAATGCACAGTGCGAGGGATAGAGAGAGCCCATGGTGGAAAACCTTCAGCGTTTCACTGTAAACCAACACGACTATCCCCCGTTTAGATCTGTAGAACCACCAGGGAAGGCAAGAGGGTGCAACTCCACACTACTGTGGGCTGTAGCCATGGTGATGTTGGGCATAAGTACGCCTCAAAGAGGGCTCGCAGTCATACACAGAGCTTATGTAAAGCACTAGCTCCATCAATACCCCAGGTGGAGAGCTGCTCTCGGGAGAACCGCCATCGCTCTACTACTACGCAGCCAATACTCGATTAGCATGAAAACAACAGTCGGATGCCAATCCACAGTGGATCCCCAGTGAGCAGCACAAACCCTGCCCACTCCTGACTCCTGACTCTCTCTCTCTCTCCCTGCTTGGTAATGCTGGCTCTATGAAGGCATGAGAGCTAATGCTGCCAGTGTCAGAGGGTTTAAAGCAATTTAAGAGGGGTTTCCAGATGTCAGAGGTTTTCCAAATGACAACAAAGCTCTGGAAGTGACGCCCAATGCTTCCAACAAATCTGTCAGAGCCTAGGGAAAAGGCGTGTTTCGTAATTACGATCTTACAGCAAATCAGTGTTGCATTTCAACCAGCTCGGATGTACAGATGTTGGATCTTAAATGTATCCGTTTCTCACAGCATGAAAATAATCCTGCAGCAACAGGAAATGTGAATTATTGTGTGAATTCTAATTCATGTACATTTTTGTAGGGGTTAAAACAGATTTTGTTGTTAGGGGAAATCAAGTCAAATTTTAAAGTGGAAATTACAAACTTTAGAAGCCTTTTTAAACCTTGAATACACTACAACTTTGCATTTCCTGCCGTGCAAGACATTTCCTGCAACAAAAGGGTGATCAAATTAAGATCCATCATCTGTACAGTATTGTATTTCCAACAAAACAGAAAAGCGAACATGTCTAAATTGTATCTCAATCCCACAATGACAGAAGGGGGAATGATTATTGGGAGTTGTTTGGAAGCCCTTGTGTTCTCTGCAAATAGAATCTCTGCTGGAGAGTCACTCTTGAACTAGCTTGGCAGGGTAGAGTGGAAAAGCCTGGCGGGATGTCGCCAGACCCATATGCTGCTGAGGGGAAATGTGCGGTTGGATGAGGTTTTCAAGTTTTTGGCATCCCACAATTTTACCTCATGCCGCACTCGGCAACCAGTTTATCCACTATTTATCTCCTCCAAATCTTACCCAAATAACACTACGCACGTCTTACGTCTTCAACAAGATAATGAATTATAAAAGAACTTAAAGGTAACTTCCAAAATAAAGGAAACACCAACATAAAGTGTCTTAATATGGCGTTGGGCCACCGCGAGCCACACTTAAAACCCCTATGCTCCTTTGAGACCCCTCTTTCAAAGTCACTGAGATCTCTTCCTCTAGCCATGGTAGCCAAAATAATGGGCAACTGGGCATTTTTATACATGACCCTAAGCATGATAGGATGTTAATTGCTTAATTAACTCAGGAACCACACCTGTGTGGAAGCACCTGCTTTCAATATACTTTGTATCCCTCATTTACTAAAGTGTTTCCTTTATTTAGGCAGTTACCTGTAATTCTACAATGAATAGTTGTATCTGTGGTGCTTAGAAAGCAATGCTTGTGTATTAAGCAATGACAGTATTCATTATATTATCCTCACATAAGCAGTCAAAGATCAGGGTGGCATTGCAGCGAACATTTCATCGGCATCTGCCTGAGTCACAACACAAGTGGCAGAAAGATCCTTTTGGAGTCATTTCGTGTCACTGAATAAAACTTGGAAAGTCTAAAATGCAATAATCTGTGGACCACCTATAATCCTGACAGTGGAAGGCTCAGCAGACTGACAGATAGTGTGAGCGAGAGAGAGAGCGAGAGCGAGAGAGAGTCAGAGATCCATCAGTCAGCGGAACACAAACCACTGTCTAACTTTGGGACAACGTTCGTTCTATACAGTGGTTTAAACTGTAGGCTACCAGCACAGTATATTTGAACAAATATATCCCTAGTCAATATGGGCTCCTGCTTGGCTTTCACTTCCACATTAAAACAGTGATTATGAACAAGGATTACAAAACGGATTAAAGAGGATTAGGGAATTTCTCATCATCACATTTGGGAAAAGGAGGAAAAACACCCTTGACAACTCACATCCCCCCAAAAAATATTATTGAAAATACATATTTTTCCTTCCCTGTAACTCACGTACAGTAACATTTATCTTAGTGTTGTAGACCAGTAAATGATGCACTGCTTGGAGAAGGCAGGAGCTCTGTTAGATGTAATCTGATTCAATCTGGGTAAATCAAGAGTAATCTCCCTTTTACCAGCCTGAGCTGACTAGTTGACCGGAAGAGCTGGGCAACATCTCCCAGAGATTAGACCTAAACCATTTATGATCCAGAACAAGTCCCTGTTCAATCAAATCCACTGACCAGGGCCCGTACTCACAAAGCTCCTCAGAGTAGTTGTGCCGATCTAGGATCAGGTCCTCCCTGTTAATATGATAATATTCATTATGATCTAGCTAAAAGGCAAAACCGATCGTAGTATATTGAGTATATTAAAAAAACTGGATGAAGCAATCAATATCTGCGCTAATACTATAAAAAGAAACTAGGCTATTTACCCCACAATGAACTGCTATAAGAGATGATCTCCTACTACGTATATTCTGGCCTGGATATGTACTGTAAAGAGAAAGAGAGATGATAGAGAGAGAGAGACAAAGAAATAGAGAGAGAGCGAGTGGCAGAAAGAGAGCAAGAGAAAGTTCTAGAACTGTGGACGATTCCAAACCCTCTGTAGCCTGAGGGCGATCCAGCCGTGGTTCAGGAGTGTACACTACATTTACACTCACAGTCAGAACCTATGGAGAAGAGGCAGAGGAATAAATAAATGGCCATCTGAAGAATATATAACAAATGACTCATCTAGCAGTAAGATGAAACAGCCCTCCCTGCCTTCCTGCCTGTGTGTGTGTGTGTGGTGAGGCCAACCTACGGCATCTTCTCACATGGATCTTACTGCCACGGATCTAGCAGTACCAGAGCTGCCAGTTTGGATGTCCATTGTCACGTACGGCTTAAGAAAAAAGAAACACACACACACACACAGACACAGACAGATGGAATCTAGAAATACTACCACGAATCAAAATCGGAGCTGATCATACAACCCCCACCCACCAGTTGCAGACCGTTACTGTGCTAGTCGTGACAGCCTAGCTAGTGTATGTGCTTGACAGAAGGTTTGCTTTTGTTAACATTAGAGATCATGTGATATTTGTCTCACTTTTTGTTTCCGGCTGGATTTCCTGTCTGCTGAGGCTCTCTTTAGGAGCTTAGAGCATGTTAAGGATAGCAGTGTTCTTCAAGAGAGCTCAGAATGGGGCTGTGTGCGTCGGCCCGGATCGTTATGTAACTGTACTGGATACATAATCAGGTCTTCTACTGCTGGATGGGTGGATGGAGGGATGAGGACAGAGAGAGAGAAAGTGAGAGAGATCAGAGAGAGAGAGAAAAAGAGAGAGCTGTTGAGAGACAGAAGGAGAGGGAGAAAGAGCGAGAGAGTGAGAGGAGGGGCATGCCTCCCACCGCAGCAGTAATGCTCTCTCCCCTTAATCCTGGTTTTAAACCTCTCTCTGATTCACTAAGGCAGATTATTGTCATTTCCCACTTCCCCTCCAGCCCTCCAGAGTCTAGTCATCCGATGTGCCATTAACTTTTGTCATGTAAAACCTCCCTCATCTTCCACTGCCATCAGCAGACCTAAAATCTTCTTAGCTATCAATATGCCAAACTCTGGAGGATGAGAAAAAAAGAAGGTAGGCGTCAACGGGAACTTTCGCCCCCTCTCCGCAGCATGCTGTATCCCTCTCATCCGCACACTGAAGGTCATCTTCCCTGTTCCCCTGGTGTGCAAACTGCAGCTCAACTCAGCCTCACCGTCTTAAAAATAGCCCACCCATCCTTCCAGAAATTACCATGTCCTTCAAAGTCATTAAAAAACATTATCAGAAGCCTTCACGGCACTCCATTTCTGTGTTTGGAACGATGTGCAGTGCGCTGTTTAATTGGTGAAGATGATGGAGGACATGTTTCATAATTGTAACTGCTGGCAGTGGCAGGATTTTTTTGTTGCCATTATTGTTTCCATTGAACTGAAGTTCAATTCCATTACGTAAAGAAACTGGTCCACCACTTAAAATTCCCAGGTAAACTGCCTCCAGTTTCAGAATAAGAGATGAACGGGCAGTAAAACAAAGATCAGGCAGGCTAAAATGTATCTGGTCTGAAATATTCACACCACGATTTTAGAGTAAAGCATTCTGAACATACAGTATGTGAAGGGTTTATAGATGTATAACACACTTTCAGCATGCAGTATGACAATTAACTACCCTTGATCTAAATCCATTATCAATGTATTCACTAGGCACCAAACGGAAGAAAACAGACTGAAACAGGGAGAGACTACCGGAAGTTGTCCAGTAAGAAATGCTTGTTTTCTGTTTTTCGTTGCAAAACGTTTTGCTAGATTTTGCTACTGTGTGTACTAATGAATATGACCCAGGTGTTAGTATCTGTGTGGTTACCTGGGCAGGAACTTAAGCTGAGCGTTGAAGCTGGACCTGGCCTGGATGTAGCCGGTCTTAGGCAGGATCTCCATGTGGTTCCTCAGCTCTGGACACACCTCGAACGTCAGCCGAAGAGCTGTGCTCGCTCTGCAATACAAAAGACAACAGCGCTGTTTAGTTAGGCCCTGTACTAGTTAGTTAGGGCTGCTAACTCAACGGAGAGCCTATTTAGTAAGTTAGGGTGGTGTTATGTCTATGACACAACACGTTTCACCAAGCTACTGCTCAAGATGGCATCCATCAGTTTATGTGATTTGTTGTATACATTTTACACGATTCGATACTAAATTAAGAGGACCCTCACGAAGCAAATGTAAAGGTGAGTGTACTTTACACAACAGACTCCCAGGATGTCCCCTTGTTACAGTGTAGATATTCGACGAGGACGTCAGACATGAAATCGTGAGTGTGTGAGTGACATGAACACAAATTGTCTGGTAGGTACTGCTGCAATGTACCCATGTCCTCATTTTCTCCCACCCGATAATTTAGGTGACCCAATTTCAGAGGGATCCAACAGATGGTTGTGCTGGTGGTGAGAAGTCTCCCTCTGTAGCTGTGGTGATATAAATGGATCACTACCCAGGGAATTCTCCACGCACGGCCAACGACACACACACACACACACACACACACACAGACAGACACGAGCTCCCCTCTCAACAGCTACACTCAATGACTCATGCTCGGTGGAAGTGCTGTGCAGTCAGTTTTGCAAATAGTCCGGGTAGCCATGATTAGCTGTTCAGGAGTCTTATGGCTTAGTGGTAGAAGCTATTAAGAAGCCTTTTGGACCTAGACTTGGCGCTACGGTACCGCTTGCTGTGCGGTAGCAGAGAGAACAGTCTATGACTAGGGTGGCTGGAGTCTTTGATCATTTTAGGGCCTTCCTCTGACACCGCCTGGTATAGAGATCCTGGATGGCAGGAAGCTTGGCCCCAGTGATGTACTGGGCCGTACGCACTACCCTCTGTAGTGCCTTGCGGTCGGAGGCTGAGCAGTTGCCATACCAGTCAGTGATGCAACCAGTCAGGATGCTCTCGATGGTGCAGCTGTAAAACATTTTGAGGATCTGAGGACCCATGTCAAATCTATTCAGTCTTCTGAGGGGGAATAGGCTTTGTCGTGCCCTCTTCACGACTGTCTTGGTGTGTTTGGACCATGATAGTTTGTTAGTGATGTGGACACCAAGGAACTTGAAGCTCTCAACCTGTTCCACTACAGCCCCGTCGATGAGAATGGGGGTGTGCTCAGTCCTCTTTTTTTTCCTGTTGTCCACAATCATCTCCTTTGTCTTGATCACGTTGAGGGAGAGGTTGTAATCCTGGCACCACATGGCCAGGTCTCTGACCTCCTCCCTATAGGCTGTCTCATCGTTGTCGGTGATCAGGCCTACCACTGTTGTGTCGTCGGCAAACATAACGATGGTGTTGGAGTAGTGCCTGGCCATACAGTCATGGGTGAACAGGGAGTACAGGAGGGGACTGAGCACACACCCCTGAGGGGCCACCGTGTTAAGGATCAGCGTGGCAGATGTGTTGTTACATACCCTTCCTAAGTCCTTCCTAACTCAGTTGCCGGAGAGGATGGAAACCGCTCAGGGATTTCACCATGAGGCCAATGGTGTCTTTAAAAAAGTTACAGAGTTTAATGGCTGTGATAGGAGAAAACGGAGGATGGATCAACAACATTGTAGTTACTCCACAATACTAACCTAAATGACAGAGTGAAAAGAAGGAAGCCTGTACAGAATAAAAATATTCCAAAACATGTTTGCAATAAGGCATTCAAGTAAAACTGCAAAAAATCCAAAACAACACATAACTGAGTACCACTCTTTATATTTTAAGCATGGTGGTGGCTGCATCATATTATGGGTATGCTTGTCATCGGCATGGACTAAGGAGTTTTTTTTAACGATAAAAATAAACAGAATAGAGCTAAGCACAGGAAAAATCCCGGAGGAAAACCTGGTTCAGTCTGCTTTTCAACAGACACTGGGAAACAAATTCACCTAACAGCAGGACAATAACCTAAAACACAAGGCCAAATATACACTGGAGTTTCTTACCAACACAACACTGAATGTTCCTGAGTGGCTTAGTTACGGTTTTGACATAAATCGGCTAGGAAATCTATGGCAAGACATGAAAATGGCTGTCTAGCAATGATCAACAACCAACTTGACAGAGCTTGAAGAATAAATAAATAAAAAAAGTGCAAATATTGTACAATCGCTGCCAAAGGTGCTTCTACAAAGTATTGACTCAGGGGTGTGAATACTTAAGTAAATGAGATATTTCTGTATTTCATTTTCAATACATTTGCAACAATTTCTAAAAACCCTTTGTCATAATGGGGTATTGTGTGTAGATGGGTGAGAACAAAAATCTATTCTGAATTCAGGCTGTAACACAACAAAATTTGGAATAAGTCAAGGGGTATGAATGCTTTCTGAAGGCACTGAACTAAAATATAAACGCAACATGCAACAATTTCAACGATTTTACTGCGTTACAGTTCATATAAGGAAATCAGTCAATTGAACTAAATTCATTAGGCCCTAATCTTTCGTATTTCACATGACTGGGCAGGGGTGCAGCCATGGGTGGGCCTGGGAAGGCATAGGCCCACCCACTATAGGCCCACCCACTTGGGAGCCAGGCCCACCCACTGGGGAGCCAGGCCCAGCCAATCAGAATTTGTTTTTCCCCACAAAAGGGCTTTATTACAGACAGAAATACTCCTCAGCTGTCGGGGTGACTGGTCTCAGACGATCCCGCAGGTGAAGAAGCCGGATGTGGAGGTCCTGGGCTGACGTAGTTACACATGTGAGGCCGGTTGGACGTACTGCCAAATGATCTAAAACAATGTTGGAGGCGGCTTATGGTAGAGAAATGAACATTCAATTCTCTGGCAACAGTTCTAGTGGACATTCCTGCAGTCTGCAGGCCAATTGCACACTCCCTCATAACTTGAGACATCTGTGGCATTGTGTTGTGTGGCCTTTTATTGTCCCCAGCACAAGGTGCACCTGTGTAATGATCATGCTGTTTATTCAGCTTCTTGATATGCCACAACTGTCAGGTGGATGGATTATCTTGGCAAAGGAAACATTTTCACTAACAGGGATATAAACAAATTTGTGCACAAAATTTGAGAGAAATAAGCTTTTTGTGCGTATGGAAGAATTCTGGGACATTTTATTTCAGCTCATGAAACATGGGAGCAACACTTTACATGTTGTGTTTATATTTTTGTTCAGTACTATGACTCTGGGTAAAAGGATGACCGGTTACTGTATGTTCTCTGATTATGATGCAAGACTCTCCATAGAACTACTGTTATATCTCTCTAACGTTAATTCTGAGTCATACTTCATGATTATATGTTCTCCTGAAGTGCCAATGCTTTCCACAGGTTATGTTTTTTAACTGACACCCATCGTTCATGACTGGATAAGACAGTGATCTAATGATTATCAAAAGTGTATTACAAGGGTATTAGATTATAATACGCTCAACCAGTTAAGGTTTAGTGATAAGGCCCATGGCTGGTGGAGGTTTAATGCTTACAGTTATACTAGTTAAAGTCTTAAGCCCCATATATCCATGAGACTTATTGCTGGGGAGCTGATAGACTTCCTTACACTGTCGTCTGGTTTAGGTAAAGCTGATTGACTAGAGCGCTCACACCCATTTCATGCTAGTGCCCATGACTGGGGAAGGTTTAGTCAAAGACAGTACTAAAACTGCTTCTCCAATAGAAATCCCTGATCACACTTGTAGGTGATTTCATGGCGATGTTGGCTAGCTAAGCGCATGCGCAGAACAAGTAATTGATGTAAATGTCGTCTTGCGCCGAACTGTGTATGTGCAGGCTGTCAAATCAAAGCCACTCCTTCAATATAAAGTAGTTTTTGACGAAAATGAAAACGTCTCACTTTGTCACTTTCACAAGGTTGGAGTAATTGCATGTTCAACTACTTAAGACATTGGCTCCAAATTATGTTGTGCCTTTAGATTTCAATAAAATTAACAACTAAGGAATCATTTTTCACTTCTCTCATTGACTTCTCAAACCCCAAACCCAAGCCTGGTCTTCTTGGTCTGTTTCGCAAGCGTTCCTAGAAGTCTTGAGATGTTGCGCTTCTGGGTTTAGAAACTCTGTGGTTTAGTGCTAGAGTTGCCCATGGATAGACTGGGTATCAGTCTGTTTATGCCATTATGCCACTCCTTTTCATGCCAAACGGATAGCCTGGGACCAGACTAGCCCATAACAATAATAATTCTTAACATTCATGACTTGTTAAGGATAAGGCCTCTACTAACATCCGTCACTAGTCAAGGTGCCCATGGCTATACTGTCACGGTGCCACTTTCCATCCCCTGCACGTCCAGATGGCACACTTGGTGAAACCCCACGTGGCCCAAGACCTGATGGGATACTCAACACCTCAGAGGGAGTCTGAGTAATTACCCCCACCACCCCAGCGATGTCTCCCCTCTCCTGGCAACATCAAAAGATAAACCCAAAATCAACCAACTCAGAAGAGGACCACTGGAAAAATGCCTAGGCACTCGTTCCTTAATGCTCTATTTTTAGGAATCTTCCATTCAAAAGCGAGGCGACGGAGAGAACAACTATTGTTTCTGGAGGAAGGCATCAGAAACAAAATACATTAATCAACTCAGCCTCATTCCTCGGGGTGAGAGGAGGACGGTTGTGCGTACAGGAGGTATTGTTATAAATAAGTGAGGGAAGAAAGAGGGCAGGAGGTGGCTTTAGGAAAAGCAGGTAGATTATTTTCAGTATGTCATCTACTTTGTCATCTTCTTTGACTCCCCAGCAGGTGTCAGTGGAAATGGTTTAAAATGTTTGGCTTTGATTTGATTTGGTGTTTGCGATGAAACATGCTGTCCCCTGAAATATGCCAAAAGTGGCATATTGTGTGATGCTGGTTGGTGTTTCTCACGCTGTTCCCTGGAATCTGTCAACGACTGTTACTCTAGGCTATATTTAAATAATTGACTCAAAAGTTAAGTTTACATTTTGTGTGATGCTGGTTGGTGTTGCTCTCGCTGTTCCCCCAAAATATGTCAACTGCTTTACACAACCATAGATATAAAGCAGTTCTATGTACACCACAGTATATTATTTTATACCATTGGTTCAAAAGCAAACGTAACATATTGTATGATGCTAGTTGGTGTCTATTTTTGGGGACTTTTGGGGGGGGGTGTAAAAAGCTGCCGTTCTCGGCGTCACTGTCGCTGTCATCGTCACATGCATTTGTGTGCTCCAGCTTCCAGATGGCAGCTGCCACAAATCCCCCCTCGCACTGTGACGTGTGACACAAAGACGTGCGGGTGGAGAGACATGCCGGTAAATGTTATGGCCTGCAGCGCTTTCATAATGTATAACATTCATAATCAAAAATAATTTGCTATTGCTCAATGCCATATCTAAAGCAGACGGGATTGAGATCTTAAACGGCATCTTATCCGGGGTCCTTTGACCCCATCCGATACAGGGTTTATGTGAAGCCTAATACATTTCTAGAGGGGAGAAAGGTATGGAGGGAGACAGGTATGGAGGGAGACAGAGAGGAAGGGCAGAGGCAGGATTTGTAACCCAATTGGCAGCACTACCACTAGACCAGACTCCAGCCCAGGCCAAGGTCTACTGTACATAATGTAAATGAATGACCGTCTCTAACCAATTGACGGACTCACCTGCTTTGGACCACAATACTGTCTTGATAGAGGCGATCGAACATGCAGATCTTCAGGACAATGCTTGGCTGGGCCACCCACACAGGCACGCACACAGCCATCCCTTGGACCCCAATGGATATCTGTGAATAGACGAGGCCCCCGTCAATCAAAACTAGTGCCTGGATGTTTCCGGGATAAGCCAGAAGGACATTCATCTCATTAGCCTTCACACATTATATATTATATTATTTACAGTATATTGTAAATATTGAGTAAATATAATTGTATTGACTACATCATTCCTATCACACATTCTCATGAGAGGAAAGCTGTTTTTGTCATACATAGGTTAAAGCCTGGCTATTGGCTTTGGCTGAATAGACTTTTGGTCTTACTGTAAGTATCACAGTGTAGGCCTAGTGTCAGTTCACTCAGGTAATGATGATGACATCATGAGGAAAATCTTACCGGTTCACAGGTTGGGTCGGAGAACTTGATGTGGAAGTCCAACTTAGCCTCCCCTGGTATGGTGGGTGTGAACACAATCTCCAACTTGACACTTTCAAACGGGCCCACCTCCCCCTCTCTGACCTAGGCATGGGAGGCAGTCTTGAGGGAACATGTCACAACAACAGTCACATCATCATGTGCAGGATAAGGGGGGTATTATTAGCGCACAGTGTAGCAAAACATTCTGCAATGAAAACTAGTTTCATATTGGACAAATTCAGGTAGGTCCTTCCCTATTTCGGCCCATTCGCTTCTGTTTGGTTCCTAGTGAATACACTGAAGGTAAAATCTTTTTAGAGCTGTTTTTAATATAGTCATTCAGATGTGAAACTTCAAAGTCATATAAAATCTAACTACAGTCATTGCTGGGTGTCATCATCTGCACCATAACACAGGGATTTCAATAATAACTCAATCAAAAGTTGTGGAAAGAAGAACACAGTGTGGCACCTCACTCCAGGAAAGTTTCAATACTCTGGGAGCACAATGTGTGTGAACGTGTAAAATGGTGAAAACCCACAAACACACACACACACACACACACACACACACACACACACACACACACACACACACACACACACACACACACACACACACACACACACACACACACACACACAAAAGGCAGCGGGAGAAGCAATGCACCATTACCCCGAAGAGAGGAGTAATGAGCCCAGAACAAGCCAGCAACTACACAGGGAGAGACCGCAGGACACATGACATTAGTGAACAAATCCACCATGGAGGGAGACAGAGAGAGATGACAGACTTCTATCACTACAGAACTAGTGGGGATGTGTGTGTGTGTGTGTGTGTGTGTGTGCTGGCATGAAGACAGTTGCTGCGTTGCTTTAATTTTTGTATTTTCATATCTGATAATTCACTATTTTACGCATTCACACACAAAGACCAAGGCAGACATCTATCAATACAGAACTAAACAGACAAGTGAGGATGAAGAAAAGCTGTATCACAATAACACCAAAGGGCCAGATTTACACAGCACCTGTTATTTGCAGCTACTTGCGTTCTTAACATGTGTTTCCCCTAAAGAATTTTGGGATTCAACCTTTGTTCTTCACTTTCTTCTACAAAGAACTGGTGTTGTACCATCGTAATTATTTTCCAGTGTTGATCTAGTAGTCTGTACATATTCCTATAGCAGTTACTCAAAGGTGCTGTACCTTTCCGATGGTGATGTCACTGCTGCTGTCCGAGGGCTCCTCCGTGTTGGCCTTGAGGGCCAGGCCTCCCTCCTGCTGCTCTGAGGCCAGGCTGCGTCTTCCTGAGGCAGCCTCCACACCCCCCAGGGTCTCTGGCACAGCAGGTGTCTGGGCCCCTAATACCACACACACACACACACACACACACACACACACACACACATACACAGGGACACACACATGCAAGCATGCATCCACACACAGCCACACTCTCCAATATTTGCAAGGGCAACCTTCCTTCCTCCTTTCCCGGAGGTGATCACTGATCTGAAAAACTTTACTGACGACTGATAACATGAACTTTGATATTATCAAAGCATCTATTAATCAGGTTTAAAAAACATGCTGAGTAGAGAGATTAACTGTTTCAGTTTTACACATCAAAGAGACATGTGTGCTTTATTTACTTGACTGTTTGGAGTCTGAGCCTAGCGAGGGTTTCTGACTCTTCCTCTCTGATTTGAGTTCTCCTGAGTCCCGTGACGCAGGGCTCTCCTGGCTGTCAGAGGCTGCTGCTATTGAAGTGCTCCTCTCCTGTGAAAGCTACACACACAAGCACACGCACATGCACACAGACACTTACAAAACCACTCCACCACTGTCCAGTACTGGCCAGAGCAGCGTCTATTGGATATATTCAAATTACAGTGCATGCCGCTAACAAGACAGCCAGACATAGGAATCAACTGCTCATGGTAAAAAAGTATATATTGCTGTAATGTTATATATATATATATATATACACACAGTGGGGAAAAAAAGTATTTAGTCAGCCACCAATTGTGCATGTTCTCCCACTTAAAAAGATGAGAGAAGCCTGTAATTTTCATCATAGGTACACGTCAACTATGACAGACAAATTGAGGAAAAAAAATCCAGAAAATCACATTGTAGGATTTTTTATGAATTTATTTGCAAATTATGGTGGAAAATAAGTATTTGGTCACCTACAAACAAGCAAGATTTCTGGCTCTCACAGACCTGTAACTTCTTCTTTAAGAGGCTCCTCTGTCCTCCACTCGTTACCTGTATTAATGGCACCTGTTTGAACTTGTTATCAGTATAAAAGGCACCTGTCCACAACCTCAAACAGTCACACTCCAAACTCCACGATGGCCAAGACCAAAGAGCTGTCAAAGGACACCAGAAACAAAATTGTAGACCTGCCCCAGGCTGGGAAGACTGAATCTGCAATAGGTAAGCAGCTTGGTTTGAAGAAATCAACTGTGGGAGCAATTATTAGGAAATGGAAGACATACAAAACCACTGATAATCTCCCTCGAGCTGGGGCTCCACGCAAGATCTCACCCCGTGGGGTCAAAATGATCACAAGAACGGTGAGCAAAAATCCCAGAACCACATGGGGGGACCTAGTGAATGACCTGCAGAGAGCTGGGACCAAAGTAACAAAGCCTACCATCAGTAACACACTACGCCGCCAGGGACTCAAATCCTGCAGTGCCAGACGTGTCCCCCTGCTTAAGCCAGTACATGTCCAGGCCCGTCTGAAGTTTGCTAGAGTGCATTTGGATGATCCAGAAGAGGATTGGGAGAATGTCATATGGTCAGATGAAACCAAAATAGAACTTTTTGGTAAAAACTCAACTCGTCGTGTTTGGAGGACAAAGAATGCTGAGTTGCATCCAAAGAACACCATACCTACTGTGAAGCATGGGGTGGAAACATCATGCTTTGGGGCTGTTTTTCTGCAAAGGGACCAGGACGACTGATCCGTGTAAAGGAAAGAATGAATGGGGCCATGTATCGTGAGATTTTGAGTGAAAACCTCCTTCCATCAGCAAGGGCATTGAAGATGAAACGTGGCTGGGTCTTTCAGCATGACAATGATCCCAAACACACCGCTCGGGCAATGAAGGAGTGGCTTCGTAAGAAGCATTTTAAGGTCCTGGAGTGGCCTAGCCAGTCTCCAGACCTGAACCCAATAGAAAATCTTTGGAGGGAGCTGAAAGTCCGTATTGCACAGCGACAGCCCCGAAACCTGAAGGATCTGGAGAAGGTCTGTATGGAGGAGTGGGCCAAAATCCCTGCTGTAGTGTGTGCAAACCTGGTCAAGACCTACAGGAAACGTATGATCTCTGTAATTGCAAACAAAGGTTTCTGTACCAAATATTAAGTTCTGCTTTTCTGATGTATCAAATACTTAAGTCATGCAATAAAATGCAAATTAATTACTTAAAAATCATACAATGTGATTTTCTGGATTTTTGTTTTAGATTCCGTCTCTCACAGTTGAAGTGTACCTATGATAAAAATTACAGACCTCTACATGCTTTGTAAGTCGGCAGTGTATCAAATACTTGTTCTCCCCACTGTATATATATATATATATATATATATATATATATATATATATATATATATATATATATATATATATATACACACACACATTGCCTTGCAAGTATTCATCCCCCTTGGCGTTTTTCCTATTTTGTTGCATTACAACCTGTAATTTAAATTGATTTTTATTTGAATTTCATATTATGGACATACACAAAATAGTCCAAATTGGTGAAGTGAAATGAAATATAATAACGGAAAAGTGGTGCGTGCATATGTATTCACCCCCTTTGCTATGAAGCCCCTAAATACGATCTGGTGCAACCAATTACCTTCAGAAGTCACATAATTAGTTAAATAAAGTCCACCTGTGTGCAATCTAAGTGTCACATGATCTGTCACATGATCTCAGTATATACAGCTGCGGAAAAAATTAAGAGACCACTGCAAAATTATCAGTTTCTCTGGTTTTACTATTTATAGGTATGTGTTTGGGTAAAAATAACATTTTTGTTTTATTGTACAAACTACTGACAACATTTCTCAAAAATTCCAAATAAAAAATATTGTCATTTAGAGCATTTATTTGCAGAAAATGACAACTGGTCAAAATAACAAAAAAGATGCAGTGTTGTCAGACCTCGAATAATGCAAAGAAAATAAGTTCATGTTCATTTTTAAACAAAGTATTGACTTTGGGGGGGGTGAATAGTTATGCACGCTCAGGTTTTCCGTTTTTTGGTCTTATTTCTTGTTTGTTTCACGAGAAAAAATATTTTGCGTCTTCAAAGTGGTAGGCATGTTGTGTTAATCAAATGATATAAACCCCCAAAAAATCAATTTTAATTCCAGGTTGTAAGGCAACAAAATAGAAAAAATGCCAAGGGGGGTGAATAGTTTCGCAAGCCACTGTATATATAAACCTGATATGACACAGAGACACCCTTGTAACAGGGATCAAGGGTCAGGGTCTCACCTGGGTGCTGGCGGAGGAGGCCTCGGACAAGGCCTGAGCCTGGAGCTGGGACTGCGCTAGGCTAGGGCAGGGGGAGGGTACCAGGGTGAAGCGTGTCCCCAGGGCCCCCCTGTTGGTCAGGGTGATAGCCCGGGAAATGGTCTGGCCCACCACGTGGGTGCCAAAGACAATGAGGTCGATGTCCACAGACAGCTAGGAGATGTATGACATGAGACACAATGAAAATGTGCATAAGTACTGAGAAAGCACATGGATGAAGTATACAGTATTGAGAGGGTACATTCATAGATGAACATCACAACATTGTAAATGCAATACTATACATAAGGAATAGAAGAATTGAGGGCCGTGTGCAGCCATTTCAGGAAATATTCAGATGACAGCAGGCTAAGCTGCTGAGTTGGATACTAAGATAAATGGCCACTCTTCAGACGAGGTCCTTCTTAGTACTCACATCACATTTCTTAATGGTGCATCTGATGGGCACAGAGAAGGGGCCAGCTGCTGACACAAACTGGACCTCTCCCTTCAAATCCTTATTTATCTAAAAGGACAGCAATGGTGATAATTTGTTAGGGGGGTAAATAACTCTTGGAGACAGATGGGTATGCTCGTCTGTCTGTCTGACTGACTCACCATTGGTTGAAAAATGACCTGCATGTCACAGGCCATCCCAGCAGATATTGGACCAGGAGGCTCAAAGCTGAAACAGAGGAGGGTGCGTTCCTATAACAAAAGCCTTCACACAACAACCCAATTCAAAGGAATGCATCTCACACACAGTGGGATATAAAAGAGCAGTTTACATCAAAACATTTTATGACCTGCACCAGCCATTCATACTCCAGTCAGACAGAGCCATTGAGACAACACAGCATGATATTCTCCATACTCAGTGGAATTATATTGCAGATCCATTTACACCACGGTTGTGAAGATTTGGCCAGGTCAGGTTATACATTATGGATGCAATTGAGGCCGATTTAAATGGCAACATAGTGTGTGTGTGTGTGTGCATGTTTGTGTGTAATTGCTAAGTTCCATGTGTAAAAAGTTCAAAATGAATATAACAGCAACATTCTACAAAAAAAGCTAAAGGATGTTGTGTCTGCAGGGAAAAGAAAATGAACATAATTTAAACAGAGGAATCAAAAGTTGACATTAAGCTGGTATTCAGAGATCTGATCGGCACAACATACCAGGAGCAAAGGTTAGCATTCAATTCTTAAAGCTACTGATGTAAGAAACAGTTCAGAAATTCCTAATCAATTAGGAAACATCACATATGTCTGATATTGTATAGCCTACTAGCGCCTACTGATGACCATGTTTTAATAAATTATCTAGAGGCAAAAGCCAGTAGCCCAGAGATTGCCCTGGAGCACTCCAAATGTTCCAGCCTCCAAAATATATAAAAGGCTACCCAACCGATACAGTGGAGCGAAAAGGCCACAGGAGAATTTCTCAAAATTCAATAGATAAACAATGAGTTGGAAAAAACAACCATAAGCACGACAGTAAGGATGAATATATAGAGCACAAGCTCTAGGACATAAAATACTAAATAAAGGACATAAAATACTAACATCACCAGGAAATCAACTCAAAGTGATATTAATTTAGGAAGTCTGTTCTGATTTTGGGCATGTATAGAAGCCTGTCAATCACAGTATATTATTTTGCGATATCATACACCTATACATACCCTATACTCTACATCTTTATTTACATATATTTAGATACAAATCCGTTAAAATACTAGTGAGAGAAATCATATGTCATATCATGCTATTTCAAATAGAAATCAGATTGGAACTGCTGAAAGTCAAAGACCGTCGACAGTAGCCTGCTGTGCCCTGGAAATGAATGAAAGAGGCCAAAATGGGCATGCTCACAGGCAGCATCACAGAACACAACCAACATCTGTTGTCTCAATAAGAGGAGTCACACTTTAACAAAGTATGTACTATCTACTGTATCTACCTATACCAGGGTTCCCCAATTGGAGGCCCGCGGGCCAAATTCGGCCGGCAGTGATTTTATTTTGGGGGAAATAAAAATTATTTTTCGATGTTGGACATAAAAGACTGTAAAATCACTAGGAAATCAGCTCAAAGCGATAATTTAGAAAATCTGTTCCCAAGTATTCCCACGTGTAAAAAGAGAGGCATATGTGATCGTATCCCAATGTAATCAAGGTTTGAAATGATTCTGTTTTTGTCAAATACTATATCTGTTTGGGATTATTGCTGTCAAATTGTTCCGGCCCCCGACCATCCGGTCAAGGAAAAATCAGTCCACGGCTGAATGTAATTGGGGAACCCTGACCTACACTCTCTGACAGTCTGCTTTCAAAATGCTTTCTAAATGCCATATGAATGCATGGAGGGAGGCATTATTTTCTAAGTAAAAAATAAAAACAAATGTTTTCAAAGAAAAAAGACAACAGTTCACTAGGGATTGAGTGTTGAGTGAGACCATGTTGAAGATGTGTGGTGAACAGTACAGTAAATCAGGCCATATTTACAGTTAGACTAAAAATATCTGGCAGGAGCCCATAGGTGCAGTATGACTGCCTGGCATATACATTATCCAACCCTCCTGGGTGACACTGATCCCATAACAAATCAAATCAGCACTAGTTAGTTCATCAACACTGTTAACACCCAAACATGCCTGATGGCTACATACGGTGCTGTGCCAAAACATGAGTCCTGTCACATTAACCAGAAGAGAGGAGCCATATGACAGATTCTGAGTCAGGTGTCCATTTTGGAACCATCTCAGGCTCTGGTCAGTCTTAGGCAGTAGCATTAAAAACACTGAATAATGTATGTAAGCCAAATTGTTTATAAAAAAATAGTTTTAAGCAGTAAAAGTGCTGTGTTTTCATGTGTATAACACCTTAGTAACGTTTGGCAGAGCCTGAGCAGTCCACCTAGCAGAGTCCCAGCAGTAAGGCTAAGACATGGCAGAGAGAGAATCAGCCCTGGCACACACACAGCTACGCTGGGAGGAAGAGAGATGGAGAGCCATTTTTAGAATTTCAGGGGGCGTCGAAAGAACGATGGATGGGCGGCATGTAAAAACCAGAGCATGTTCTTGGTTAACGTTTGTCTACCGCTGAGCAAATGATACTTAAGCCCTGAACATAGTGGTCATTTAAGACATTTTAAATAACATTTAAAAAGAAAAATCCTCCAAAACAAAATACTAAAATCCACATTACGGATTACATAACAGTCCCCAATTTCTTTTTATCAATCACGACAACCATATTGCTTGCATTATAGTACATTATAGCAATCCACCCCCATTTTCACCAGAAAATCTATCGGGTACAGATCTTTTGGGTACTTAAAACAACATCCCATTAAGGCATTCAAATCTACCTTTTCAAAAGTGACACTACTGCGTACTATAGCCCCAATAAAGGATCCTCCTCCTTCTCTGGGTCACGGTACTGGTGGATGATAGGCTGTGGCACTGGCACCCCAGAGTAATGGGTGAGCTGAGCTGAACGGCTCACTGAGAAGTGGAGTGTGTGTGTGTTTGTGGAATGTGGAGGCGATGTGTGCAGACAGGCCCTGCCGAGGCTCCAACCAACCCAACCACGAGACACTTTGACTGGGCTCTATTTGAGCCGGCAGCAGCCTGGGAGGACGAGGACTTAGTTCACTCACTCGGGCAGAAAGAGCAGAGGCCCACGTAACCGCATCAAGTCAGAGTTATCTCACTATCTCTCTGGAAAGGGATAGAGTGAGTGGTGTGTGACCCACATGTAACACTCATCCCTCCTTTGTTTGTGGGTGGGAGGGATGGAGGCTCGGGACTGAGAGAAATGCATTAATGAGACTGAGCTAGTGTGTAAGCTTTGTGAGGGGGTGGATGCTCAAGGGAGAAGTTGCGCGGACCCAACCAAAGACCTAGGATCAGATTACCCGACCTTAAAACAATCTGACCCTAGACCAGGGGTTATGGGCAATTTTAACCAATCAGTGGTGGACATTCCTCTTCCGTCCATGTGACGTTAGACCCCATTAACTATTACCTGTTTTTCTGAGCCTACGAGAAATTAGTAACAGGTTTTGATCGCAAGAAAGTCGTTTTCCACTTCTGTTCCAATTCAACCTACCATGGAACTTAAGCTATAAGGCTCACCTTATTGAAATGAAATCCATCAGATCCATGGTGACACCAAGTAACTTGCAATAATTGGTTGTGTAGCTGACATTAGTCAGGTTGACCTTCTTCTTATACATCTGTCCCACCTCAAAGTCCTGCAACAGTATGTGGATGTGTGAAATACCTGCATGTCATTTTGTCTGAAATGACTGCAGAGTATGAAATAACTGTATGTCATTTTGGGTGAAATTACTGCACAGTATGACATGCCTGCATCTTCTGCAATACAATACAATGCATAGTTATACAACGCAGAGCAATGTACCTTGAAGAGGACGATTTCTGGCTTGCTGATGAAAGGTGAGCCTTTGAATTCCTTCCCCTGTATAACTCTTTTACCAGCCACTGGAGGTTTCCCCACCGGCAGCAAAGACAGATTCTGTCTCTCTGCTTGCGACTGTAATGATTTAGTCTCTTCATTTGGAGTGCTCTGGAAAATCAGGGGGGAAATGAACACCAATTCAGGTCATATTTCAAAGTCGAAAAATATCCATATATTGATATACTACAGCTTGTGAATTTTAGACAAACAAACAGATATAAAACTTTGGCTTATGTTTCTTTCAAAGCCATATTGACACAAAAGGGCATGGCCAATGCAACCAACACCATACCATGGAACAAATGAAATAAACAATATGTTAACAATTATTTAAATTCACAAGTACACTACAGTAGATCAACTCTACAAACAAAACATAAATAGTGTATGATTGTAAACAGTAGTTGCATAATATGTAGCGTACTGGCCTGTAGTTATTGTCTACCAGTGGAAACCGTTCTAAATTCTCATAGACAGGCCATTCATGTCCCGCTCAGTTAATCAAGGCAGACAAGGCAGCATCCAGACACAAACAAGACAAGACATCAGCCTTTGAGGAAGAGCGCTAATGTGATATGCATTTAGGAAAATGTTAATGTTGATAAAATTGCAGTGATTTCTGTCTCGCCCTCAAGAGTTAAGGAGCTGAGTAATTTTGGCCTATGGTCCTTTACTTTTGTGTAAACTAAACTCATAACAACTCGGCTCACAACCCAATCCTCATGTGACGTGATGTCATGAGGACATCATTTGCAGAAGTGCCTGTGAAAAGTAAAAACCTTTCCACATGACTTCTCGCACACAGGACTATCTGGCCTGAATGACTGTCATGTTCCGTTGGAGGCTTCCAAGGCACCAGCAAATGAGAAGTGATGTCTGTCGCCATGGATCTCAAGAGTGGGAGAGAGGCAGTAGAGGCAACCCACTGCTGCTGGCTGGGGAGTAGTAGCACAGTTCTAAAGCTACCCTTTCTCCTGTTCTATACAATATGACCTAGTGGTACCAGTCCCAGTTTACCATTTATTTCTCACTTAGTACAGTGAGGGAAAAAAGTATTTGATCCCCTGCTGATTTTGTATGTTTGCCCACTGACAAAGAAATGATCAGTCTATAATTTTAATGGTAGGTTTATTTGAACAGTGAGAGAGAATAACAACAAAAAAATCCAGAAAAACGCATGTAAAAAATGTTATAAATTGATTAGCATTTTAATGAGGGAAATAAGTATTTGACCCCCTCTCAATCAGAAAGATTTCCGGCTCCCAGGTGTCTTTTATACAGGTAACGAGCTGAGATTAGGAGCACACTCTTAAAGGGAGTGCTCCTAATCTCAGTTTGTTACCTGTATAAAAGACACCTGTCCACAGAAGCAATAAATCAATCAGATTCCAAACTCTCCACCATGGCCAACACCAAAGAGCTCTCCAAGGATGTCAGGGACAAGATTGTAGACCTACACAAGGCTGGAATGGGCTACAAGACCATCGCCAAGCAGCTTGGTGATAAGGTGACAACAGTAGGTGCGATTATTCGCAAATGGAAGAAACACAAAATAACTGTCAACCTCCCTCGGCCTGGGGCTCCATGCAAGATCTCACCTCGTGGAGTTGCAATGATCATGAGAACGGTGAGGAATCAGCCCAGAACTACACAGGAGGATCTTGTCAATGATTTCAAGGCAGCTGGGACCATAGTCACCAAGAAAACAATTGGTAACACACTACGCCGTGAAGGACTGAAATCCTGCAGCGCCCGCAAGGTCCCCATGCTCAAGAAAGCACATATACAGGCCCGTCTGAAGTTTGCCAATGAACATCTGAATGATTCAGAGGAGAACTGGGTGAAAGTGTTGTGGTCAGATGAGACCAAAATCGAGCTCTTTGGCATTAACTCAACTCGCCGTGTTTGGAGGAGGAGGAATGCTGCCTATGACCCCAAGAACACCATCCCCACCGTCAAACATGGAGGTGGAAACATTATGCTTTGGGGGTGTTTTTCTGCTAAGGGGACAGGACAACTTCACCGCATCAAAGGGACGATGGACGGGGCCATGTACCATCAAATCTTGGGTGAGAACCTCCTTCCCTCAGCCAGGGCATTGAAAATGGGTCGTGGATGGGTATTCCAGCATGACAATGACCAAAAACACATGGCCAAGGCAACAAAGGAGTGGCTCAAGAAGAGGCAAATTAAGGTCCTGGAGTGTCCTAGCCAGTCTCCAGACCTTAATCCCATAGAAAATCTGTGGAGGGAGCTGAAGGTTCGAGTTGCCAAACGTCAGCCTTGAAACCTTAATGACTTGGAGAAAATCTGCAAAGAGGAGTGGGACAAAATCCCTCCTGAGATGTGTGCAAACCTGGTGGCCAACTACAAGAAACGTCTGACCTCTGTGATTGCCAACAAGGGTTTTGCCATCAAGTACTAAGTCATGTTTTTCAGAGGGGTCAAATACTTATTTCCCTCATTAAAATGCAAATCAATTTATAACATTTTTGACATGCGTTTTTCTGGATTTTTTTGTTGTTATTCTGTCTCTCACTGTTCAAATAAACCTACCATTAAAATTATAGACTGATCATGTCTTTGTCAGTGGGAAAACGTACAAAATCAGCAGGGGATCAAATACTTTTTTCCCTCACTGTATTTCATAGTTCTCAATGGTCAATTGTGTTTTCAGATTTACCATAAGCCAATAAGGCTTGTTTGACTACACTATAGAACAAATTACTTATGTTTATTACACTTATGGATATACATTTACAGTGGCTTGCGAAATTATTTACCCCCCTTGGCATTTTTCCTATTTTGTTGCCTTTCAACATGGAATTAAAATGGATTTTTTTGGGGTCTGTATAATTTGATTTACACAACATGCCTACCACTTTGAAGATGCAACATTTCTTTTTTTGTGAAACAAACAAGAAATAAGACAAACAAACTGAAAACTTGAGCGTGCATAACTATTCAACCCCCCAAAATCAATACTTTGTAGAGCCTTCTTTTGCAGCAATTACAGCTGCAAGTCTCTTGGGGCATGTCTCTATAAGCTTGGCACATCTAGCCACTGGGATTTTTGCCCATTCTTCAAGGCATAACTGCTCCAGCTCCTTCAAGTTGGATGGGTTCCGCTTGTGTACAGCAATCTTTAAGTCATACCACAGATCCTCAATTGGATTGAGGTCTGTGCTTTGACTAGGCCATTCCAAGACATTTAAATGTTTCCTCTTAAACCACTCGAGTGTTGTTTTAGCAGTATTCTTAGGGTCATTGTCCTGCTGGAAGGAGAACCTCCATCCCAGTCTCAAATGTCTGGAAGACTGAAACAGGTTTCCCTCAAGAATATCCCTGTATTTAGCGCTGTCCTTCATTCCTTCAATTCTAACCAGTTTCCCGGTCCCTGCCGATGAAAAACATCCCCACAGCATGATGCTGCCACCACCATGCTTCACTGTGGGGATGGTGTTCTCGGGGTGATGAGAGGTGTTGGGTTTGCGCCAGACATAGCGTTTTCCTTGATGGCCAAAAAGCTCAATTTCAGTCTAATCAGACCAGTGTACCTTCTTCCATATGTTTCGGGAGTATCCCACATGCCTTTTGGCGAACACCAAACGTGTTTGCTTATTTTTTTCTTTAAGCAATGGCTTTTTTCTGGCCACTCTTCCGTAAAGCCCAGCTCTGTGGAGTGTACAGCTTAAAGTGGTCCTATGTACAGATACTCCAATCTCCGCTGTGGAGCTTTGCAGCTCCTTCAGGGTTATCTTTGGTCTCTTTGTTGCCTCTCTGATTAATGCCCTCCTTGCCTGGTCCGTGAGTTTTGGTGGGCGGCCCTCTCTTGGCAGGTTTGTTGTGGTGCCATATTCTTTCCATTTTTTTATAATGGATTTAATGGTGCTCCGTGGGATGTTCAAAGTTTTGGATATTGTTTTATAACCCAACCCTGATCTGTACTTCTCCACAACATGGTCCCTGACCTGTTTGGAGAGCTCCTTGGTCTTCATGGTGCCGCTTGCTTGGTGGTGCCCCTTGCTTAGTGGTGTTGCAGACTCTGGGGCCTTTCAGAACAGGTGTATATATACTGAGATCATGTGACAGATAATGTGACACTTAGATTGCACACAGGTGGACTTTATTTAACTAATTATGTGACTTCTGAAGGTAATTGGTTGCACCAGATCTTATTTAGGGGCTTCATAGCAAAGGGGGTGAATACATATGCACGCACCAATTTTCCGCTATTTATTTAGTATAATCTTTTTTAACAAGTTATTTTTTTAATTTCACTTCACCAATTTGGACTATTTTGTGGATGTCCATTACATGAAATCCAAATAAAAATCCATTTAAATTACAGGTTGTAATGCAACAAAATAGGAAAAACGCCAAGGGGGATGAATACTTTTGCAAGGCACTGTATTTTGAGATGGAACACAAAAAGGGAATGGAGTTGAGCATTGTGTCTAATCTGAATATGATTGTATTTGTGAGTTGATACAATGATAAGTGTGTTGATGATGATGTGTGTTATTAAAATGGTACCTGGTGAACTTGACGTTTCTGGTCCCACAGGCCAGTGAACTCAGGCTGCGCCAGGCTGTCCGTGAGGCCCTGCTCCTCCTCCAGGTCCCTGCTCTCCTCCTGGTCAGACAGCTCTGATGAAGAGCTGCTGTCACTAAACACTGTGTCCTGCTGGGAAGGCCGTGAGGAGGTGGTTGGATGCTCCTTTAATCATGGGGAAAACACACACCAACCAGAGTTTTCATGTCATGTGTACCATTTTCTTTATTAGACTCTTGTTTCAGCAGTCTGATTTTTTTAATTTCCGCTCACTCGTTTTCTTTTCTCTGCCTTTGTTTCTGCCGGCTGTGGATCAAGGCTCTGAAGGACCTTCTCTGGAGATCTCCCCTGCCCTGCCAACCTCTCTACAAGGCTCACTTGGGTGGGAGGGAACAGCAGAGCATGGCGCCTCTTGCGTCTCTCTAACAACTCCTCTTCCAGCAGTAACTTTGAGACGATTTCCACCCGTTTGGATTTCTGCTTTTCCTCAAATTCTCTGAAAAACGACCACAACAACAACAACAAGCCATTGTGAGCAAATTAGGATCATATTTCTCCTTGGCGCGTTATTGTGAGAAGGAAACACCCATGCATTAAGGGGGAGAGAGAAGCAGATTGATCAGACGAACACACTCTTTCTTTCGGTGGAAGTCCTGGAGCTTTTTCTGTTGGTACATGTGCTTGGTGCTGTTGGTACCCTGTGTCTGTAGGGACTCTCTTAGCTGTCTCTCCTCCTCCTCTTGTCTCCGAGCCTGGGCTTTGGCCCTCGTCTGTTGGGCTCGCAGGCTCTCCTGGAAACAACACAAATGTAGAGTGAACAAGGTCAAGGAGGAATGATACTTCCCCTTTGTTCATGAGGACAACTGTCGAGAGAACAAAACACAAACTAGGCTTTCAGTAAGAATAATACTGATGCTTCTTTAAGCAGGGAATATACTGTGTGATTTCAAAACAATGATGCAATGATTGTAGTAATCAATTAGAAATTCAATCGTGCAGTGAGGGCTTCCATCACACTGTGTTCACTCTACTAATACAGCAGCAATTGGTCAAGATTATTAAACTACTAAATCGTACAAAGAGGTCCAAAGTGTATTCCCAGCTTAATATAGTAAATCAGAACATTTGTCCGTCCATTGGAAGGCAAAATAAATTGTGTCACCTTGTGTTCATGGGGCGGCAGGTAGCTTAGTGGGTAAGAGCGTTGTGCCAGTAACCGAAAGGTCGCTGGTTCTAATCCACGGGCCGACTAGGTGAAAAATCTGTCGATGTGCCCTTAAGCAAGGCACTTAACCCTAATTGCTCATGTAAGTCGCTCTGGATAAGAGCGTCTGCTAAATGACTAAAATGTAAATGTAATGACAATGTGACGATGCCCATTGCTATTTTCCATTTGGCTGGACCCTCAGAAACACGAGCTAGGAGCCGAGGACCAACGCTCTTATCTTAACTCTACTCAATGCCTAAACAATAGCCTTGGGTCGCGGAATTTCATGTTCACACTCAAAAAAGTGTGCACTGCTTACTTGGGTGGCTGCAATGTTGGCCTTCAATGACAGGACTGCCTGCATCCTTTTCTGCCTCAGCCCTCGACTCTGCTGCTCCTTCTCTGCCTCTTCCCGATGCATCCTGGACACAAGAGGGACGTAGCTATCATTCAAGAGTGAAGGAGGGTGCATACATTCATTTGTTATGATGTTAATTATAAACTGCTATGGGATAGCTGGTTATCAACTCTACGAGTTCATAGCTAAGTTCAATACATTCTATATGCTCATGTTATATGTGTATTAGCTGTTGATAGGTTGAACACAGCTGTTACCTGTTGATAGGTTGAACACAGCCGTTACCTGTTGATAGTCTCTTTTAGATACAGTGCTGCTTTCTGGTGGCTAGCCTGGGCCAGCTCTGTGGTCCTCTGACAGTGAGTCTCCTCCTCCCTCTGTATGGCCGCCTGCCTCCTGTTAAAAGACAAACAACATCACGCTCAAATGGAAAGAATCTTTACTAATGACAATTCAATTATCTCAGTAACAATAGGCTAGGCTACTGTGTAGTATTTTTTTGTATGTCTATACAGACAGATTAACCTGGGTCATGACAATATTATGGAAAATGTTATCATAATTACCATGTATGGCACTTTGTATGTAGTCTTTCGTGACAGACATAACAATAGAAATGTGCACATGTGATATTTTGTATTTGTATTTATTATGGATCCCCGTTAGCTGCTGCCCTGCAGCAGGTAGTCTTACTGGGGTCCAGCAAAAATTAAGGCAGTAATACATTATAATACAACATTTAAACATTAAAATACATTTTACAACAGATTTCACAATACATTAACGGTGTGCCCTCCGGCCACTACAACACACAATCCAGGTGTACGTGTGTGTATAGTGTGTATGTTATGTGTGTTTGTATGTGTGTGTTTGTACCTGTGTGTACAAAGTTTTGGGTGCTGAGATTACTTTGTATGTGACATTAGTACTGTCTAGTTTGTGTGCAATAAAGTTATGTTGCTCACAAAAAAACTAACAAATCAAAAGGAGTGAGCTGCTTTACGCTTTGAGGCACTGTTTCCGGAGCTGCAGGCTCTGGGTGGAGGTGTCCTCCTTCTGTAGCCTGGCCTCCCCTCTCTGGGCCTGCAGCACCTGGTAGGCCTGCTCCTCCTCCTGCACCTTCACACGGAGGAGGGAGAAACGACCCAATTCCACCTCCACCTGACACAGCTCCAGTCTGCAGAGAAAGGGGGAGTGGTTGGACGGAGGGAGATGGGGGGAGAAAGGAGAGAGAGAGAGAGAGAGAGAGGGGGGGGGGGGGGGGGGGGGGGGGGGGGGGCAGGGAAGGTCAAGGATGAGAGTGGTGCTAAAGCTAGTTGTCAATGTGCAGCACTATGAGATTTCAGCTAGGAAAAGTCTACAAGGAAAATGGTTTGTTCTAATGGGAGCTTGTGGCATTTGAATCAAATGTATCTTGAAAAAGCATCTTGGATGCAACAATAAACATATGTTTGAAGAACAATATATATAATTGCAAGTAGCGGAAGTATTGTATCTATTTGCCCAACTGGAATAGCACTCAAAGGGTGAATATCTCTTTAAGATAGATAAACTTGGCAGTCACTTTGGAGCCTTGTAATGGGGCCTAAATCATGCTGCAGTAGTGCAGACTCACTCATGTTCCCTCAGAGTGTTGGCCACATGTGACTCCAGCTCCTCCTCTCGCTGTAACTCCTGACATAGGCGCTTGTGCTGGGCTCGGAGGCGAAACACGGCCACACTGCAAGAAAACACATGGGTGCTAAGGGACATTGTATTTGTTGCTAAGTGTTGTATAAAATAAAATCATTATCATCTAATTGTTTGGTTTGGATCAAGTCAAAAACAATCCCACTAACTTAATTCACATGGGGTTAAAGAGGTCATCACCTGGGGCAATATGTATCAAGCGTCTCAGAGTAGGAGTGCTGACTTAGGACCAGATCACAATGAATAAGGTTACATGGACAGGGGGGGATCTGATCCTAGATCATTACTCCTACTCTGAGTCACTTCATACAGTACATACGCCCCCTGACCTGGCTATATCTGGGTTTGCTTTGTTTGTGCCTACCTGTTGTCTTCCTCTTTCTGTTGCTCTATCTCCTCTTCCACTCTTTCTCTCTGCCTCTCCAGCTCAGAAATATGCAGACGGCAAACTTTGAGCTCCTCCCTGGAAACCAAGAAGTAAAGGCAAAACACTGCACTAAATCTACAACAACAACAACAAACCACAATGTGAAAAGCTCTCATTATGACAGTCACAAGACCATTCAGAGACTGTTAGCAAGGTAATAGGTTGGATGTGGACGTAAAAATGAATGAACGGCCATTCTGTGACTGGAGGTGGTTCCATAAAGAAAGGTGCTATTTGTTGTGCTGACAAAGAAGTCATGAAGGTGTGCTGAAGCAGGGACAGCTGTGAGATTGCAATGCACCCAACAGCTTTGAATGGCCCAATGTTCTCTTTGCATTCTAATGAAGTGCAACATAACAATCTGTGACTGGGCTAAAGAGCTGAAGCAAATAATGATGGATCATTATGGTTCAGGCCATCTGTATATTGGCTAAAAGCCAAGTGCTTAAGAGTGCTTTTATGCTGCTATTCCAATATGGCCCTGGCCACAAAAAAGATTGCTACTGCAGTGTGTTGTTTTGTGTCAGCACAGAATGACCACCATTTATGTTTGTGCTAAAGGTCTGCATCGCAGCTCATTGGGTGCTTAATGGCTTGCTGTTGCACAAATCAACAACAAATGTGGACACATTATCAGAAATGTGTCCTCTTTGGCTGAAATTATGTTTCTTCTAATAGCCAAATCAATGAATTACAGAAACTGTTCCTTGGTTTAGGGCAGGCCTAAAAATGGGGCATTGGAATGTATTTGGGCAGAGAAAATCTTTGATTTGTGTTAAGGTGGCATATAAAGGTCTGATCCTTGCCAAACACAGGCTGCGTCCCAAATAAAACTCTATTTCCTTTATAGTGCACTACAGAAGTATTTGGGACGCAAACACAGACCTGGCTTCCAGCACATTGTGCTCCTTCTGTCGGTGGAAGCAGTCCAGCTGGTCCAGGTTTCTTCTCAGCTTGAACATCCGTGCTGTCTCTGCATAACTCTTCTTTCCGCTACGTCCACCATCCTCTGCAAGGTCGTCATCATTATCCGCCCTTTGCAGATACAAGAGACATTGGCCTAGGTTTGGTGAATGGTCAAGAATTTATCACTAGTAATAACATGGAGTAATCTAACAATATAAGGCACACCACTATTAATGTAAAATAATGTATTTATAATCCATAATCTCATTCCCAGACACTTGCACAATAGTCTTGGGATGAGGTTAGATAATCCTAGACAAAATATTATTATAAGTAAAAAGTTATTTATAAGCCAAAAGCCAAAATTAGTATGTTGCTTAATAAAGATGAATATTTAAAGCTGAATGAAACCACATTTTTCAATCAAATAATCTGTCCTCAAAGCAGCAGAGACACCCACCAGTTAGTAGCATCTAACTCTAAAGAAAACTCTGTTGCATCCGTTGGTTGTGCTGGGTCCTCTCTGAAGGTCTCCTCTCCTGTGCCTTCATCTGAATTTGTGGGAATACAACTTTATAATGGCTAACTAGCTAGGCTACTGTATGTTTGCATTTACATGAATGTGTGATTAAGGCCCTACAAGACACATAGATACAGAACAACAACAACAAATGGCTAAACAAATGTTAGACCTAGCTACCTCCTGTATCCTCATCTGTCCAGGTGTTGAGTGGAGGATATTCAGAATGAAAAGAGGAGATGGAGACTTCCTCTGAAGGACTATCCCTGTCAGATGCGTCCATAAGACCTAAATTGAACAACATTGGTGAACTTTAGTCAACAGAAATAACTTCAAATGACAAAGAGCTCACAGACCTAAAGTTAGCTAGCTAGTAAGATGGCTAGTGTCATTACATTAAACATGTTCAGGTAGCTAGACTCATTCGTTTGCAACAGCCAACCTCGCTAGCTAGTTAGCAAGCATTGTAGCAAGCTAACTTACTAGCTAGCTAGCTAACATGATTAGCGTATATGTGGCTACTTTAAAATGTTATCTTATCTTGATTGACTGTGTTGTTGTTACCTGGAGTTCTTTCTGCAACTTTGAAGTCGCTAAATGTGTAACTTGCAGGCTAGCTAGATGGCTACTGTCTTCTCTTGTTTGAAACGTCAAGCCACTGAAGCCAGCTGCCAAACCAAGTGTGTTAGTAGTGTTTCCATGGACACCAGAGAGGGGCGGAAGCTTTAACGCGAGATGTGTGTGTGGATTCTTCTCCCCGCTCTCCTTTTCTCAGGCGCATATGATGCAATATGAATTTGCTTTCATCAGAGGAAAGGTACAGTAGCTAGTGTGTTAGACTGTCCATATCCTCTATCTGGTTTATCGCTCTCCCTCCTCTCTTCTCCCCCCATCATCTTCCCCCAGGAGAGTGGGAGAGCAACACTACAGTAGATCAGTGGGTGAGTGACGGGAGACAACTTGAAGAAAGTCATTAAACATTGACATTTTTCTGTAAATCAGCAGATCCATTAGTTCTGTATACAGGTAACTGCCAAAATAACGGAAACATTTTAGTAAATGAAGGATACAAAGTTGGGTAAGTGTACCTATTAAGCCGACCAAAATCTAAGTTTAGACATTTCCAAAGTATATACAGCCCTAATTTTCATAAGGAAAATTTAGATAAAATGAAAGATTGATATCTCATGTGAAGTTTCATGACTTTACTTACACCATTTCTTTATGTGAGATAAACATATCTGATAAAATATGTGAAAAGTCTGGACTGGGCTTAATGGGTACTGAATGTGCCCTTTAAGCCCATGGATGTTCCAAATAAGCCCAACTCTTAAATAATCTATTTCAATTCATTTCCAGATGTTAAAAATGTACAAACTGACATTTCTTATGTAAGCTTAAATTATAATAATCTCCCCTAAAGTTATTAAAATCAATATATCATTACTATTCATCATGGAAGTAGCATTCATAACAGGGGTGTGTCCAATCGTATCTGCAGAGATCAATCTGGGCCCAGGCTTTTGTTCTTGCCAACCAGTACACACCTGATTCAACTAATCAACTAATAATAAACTTCAAGCAAGACTTGATTAGTTGAATCAGGTGTTACTGCTTTGGTTAGAACAAAATCCTGCACCCGGCCCGGCCATCTGTGGATAAGACGCCATACACAAAGACCGTAACATAAACATAAACAACTTTTAATTAATTATCTGAAAGCTGGTTCACATTTGCTGTACTCCTATTCATGTTCATTAGTTCAACTTGTCTTCCTAAAGCCTGTCTGAAGACCGTTTCAAATCTCCCTCTCTACTGTTGAATTACAAAGGTACATGTGGTGAACCAAAAAATAGAAACACCTGGATGAATGAGGGACAACAATATGACAATGTCCTGGCCCTAACTGCATGAGTAATTGTCCAATAATCTTCTTGTCCCTCATTTGTTTAATACTTGTAGGTATTTTATTCCTTATTCTCCTCTCTCTACATCAATGACTACCTGTCCACTCCTAACATCTTGGAGGGAGTACAAAAGCTTTTAATTGTTTTTAATATTGGTAAAGGCACCATGGCTAGATGCATAATATGCATAGCTGGAGTTTTTGAGTATTTTAATCAACTTAAATAAAAATAAAAATACATATTTATGCTCAGATTTATTATATTATGGATATCAACAAACAATCCCCATGTGTTTTAATGCAAACTGGGCTTAATAGGATCATACTGGGTTTCACACCCTGATCTGTTTCACCTGTATTGTGCTTGTCTCCTGCCCCCACCAGGTGTCTCCCCTCCCCCCCCCCCCCCCCCCCATTATCCCCTGTGTATTTATGCCTGCGTTTTCTGTTTGTCTGTTGCCAGTTCGTCTTGTCCCGCCAAGTCGTGCCAGCGTCTTTCTCTGTGTTTTTTCCTCTTTCTGGTTTTGTTCTAGTCTCCCCGGTTATGACCTGTTTTGCCTGTCCTGAGCCTGCCTGCCGTCTACATCTGACAACTATTATCTGGATTACGAACCCCTGCCTGTCCTCAACCTACCTTTGCCTGCCCCTGCATCTGGGTCTCATCCTCAGTCATGATAGTACGAACTGGCCATGACTGACCCAGCAGACTCGGACCAGCATTGCAACACTGTCTCCTCACAAGGAGCCACCATTGGAAGACACAAGGAGTTACTACATAACCTTATGGAAGGATTCCACACCTTGGCGGAACACCATGACCATGCCATCAGTGCATTTTTGGAACAATTCCGCAGACTATCTATTAGGCATCAAGCCACAACGGAAATTTCCCAGACTCTCAGTAACCCCGCTACCAGTGGTGCTTCTCCCTAGCCTACCCCGACTTCCCGAGAACCCCGCTTACCTCCTCCGGAGCGCTACGCTGGGGATCCCGGGATCCCGCCAAGGTGTGGAATTGCTACGCTGACGATACACAACTAATCTTCTCCTTTCCCCCTTCTGATAACCAGGTGGCGAATCGCATCTCTGCATGTCTGGCAGACATATCAGTATGGATGACGGATCACCACCTCAAGCTGAACCCTGGCAAGACGGAGCTGCTCTTCCTCCCGGGGAAGGACTGCCCGTTCCATGATCTCGCCATCACGGTTGACAACTCCGCTGTGTCCTCCTCCCAGAGTGCGAAGAGCCTAGGCGTGACCCTGGACAACACCCTGTCGTTCTCCGCCAACATCAAGGCGGTGACCCGCTCCTGCAGGTTCATGCTCTACAACATTCGGAGAGTGCGACCCTGCCTTACACAGGAAGCGGCGCAGGTCCTGGTCCAGGCACTTGTCATCTCCCGTCTGGACTACTGCAACTCGCTGTTGGCTGGGCTCCCTGCCTGTGCCATTAAACCCCTACAACTCATCCAGAATGCCGCAGCCCGTCTGGTGTTCAACCTTCCCAAGTTCTCTCACGTCACCCCCCTCCTCCGCACACTCCACTGGCTTCCAGTTGAAGCTCGCATCCGCTACAAGACCATGGTGCTTGCCTATGGAGCAGTGAGGGGAACGGCACCTCTGTACCTTCAGGCTCTGATCAGTCCCTACACCCAAACGAGGACATTGCGTTCATCCACCTCTGGCCTGCTGGCTCCCCTTCCTCTGCGGAAGCATAGCTCCCGCTCAGCCCAGTCAAAACTGTTCGCTGCTCTGGCACCCCAATGGTGGAACAAGCTCCCTCACGACGCCAGGACAGCGGAGTCACTCACCACCTTCCGGAGACATTTGAAACCCCACCTCTTTAAGGAATACCTGGGATAGGATAAAGTATTCCTTCTAACCCCCCCCCCCCCCCCCCCCCCCCAAATTGTAAAGTGGTTATCCCACTGGCTATAGGGTGAACACACCAATTTGTGAGTCGCTCTGGCTAAGAGCGTCTGCTAAATGACGTTAATGTGCCCTTGAGCAAGGCACTTAACCCTAATTGCTCCTGTAAGTCGCTCTGGTTAAGAGCGTCTGCTAAATGACTAAAATGTAAATGTAATGAACCTGCCTGCCGTTTCTCTCCCAGTGCTCCCTCATTTTTGAGCTGCAGCCCTCTTTGTTTCCATTGGACCATTCAAAGATAGCATATCTTATAACGCTGATGTCTGGGAAGGCACTATGCCTGGGCTAAGGCGGTGTGGGAGCAACAATCCACTGTTTGCCTTAGTCTGGAGGATTTTGTGGCGGCAGTAAGGAAGGTGTTCGATTCTCCGTTGTCTGGGAGAGTGGCGGCTCGGAAGCTACTTCAACTGCGTAGTGTGGCAGACTACGCGGTAGACTTTGCACTTTAGCCGCCGAGACACATTCCTTCATGGATTATCGGAGGGGATTAAGGAAGAGTGGAGGTCGACGCCTCGGATGTTGGAGTGGGGGCCGTCCTGTCCCAGCGTTCTGCACAGGACCAAAAGCTGCATCTCTGCGCTTTCCTTTCCCATCGTCTTAATCCCTTGGAGAGGAACTATGACGTTGGTATCCGGGAACTTCTTGCGGTCAAGATGGCGCTGGAGGAATGGAGACACAGGGGTGGAACATCCATTCCTAGTGTGGACCGACCATAAGAATCTGGAATATCTCTGCACCTCAACTCAAGGCAGGCTCGTTGGGCTCTGTTGTTCACTCGTTTCAATTTCACCATCTCCTACCATCCTGCGTCCAAGAATGTGAAGCCTGATGCCCTCTCTCGCTTGCATAGCTCCGCAGCTTCACCATCTGACCCAGAGACCATCCCGCTACCTCCTGTCTAGCAGCGACACTTGTCTGGGGTATCGAGGGCCTGGTCCGCAAGGTGTAGCGTTCCCAGCCGTACCCAGGGGAGGCCCGGCTAACCAGTTGTTTATCCCGGATTCTGCCAGGTCCCCGGTCCTGGAATGGGCTCATTCCTCTAATCTAACCTGCCATCCCAGCTCCCGTCGGGCCCTGGCCTTCCTCCGACAATGTTTTCGGTGGCCCACTATGGTTTCTGACGTCTACGCATTCAACGCCACATGCACGGTGTGTGCTCAGAATAAGACTCTGCGGCAAGCTCCAGCCGGCCTCCTTCAACCACTCCCTGTTCCTCATTGCCCCTTGTCCCATATGTCACTGGTCTCCCTCCATCTGATGGCAACACCACCATCCTTATGGTGGTGGATAGGTTTTCCAAAGCCGCCCATTTCATCCCCCTTCCCAAGTTACCCTCAGCCAAGGAGACAGCCCAACTTATGGTACATCACGTCTTCCGAATCCATGGACTTCCGGTTGACATAGTCTCCGATTGTGGTCCTCAGTTCTCATCCCGATTCTGGAAGGCGTTCTGCACCCTCATTGGGTCGGCGGCCAGCCTGTCCTTCAGGTTTCATCCTCAATCTAACGGCCAGTCGGAGTGTGCCAATCAGGACCTGGAGACGACTCTTCGGTGCCTCGTCTCGGCCAACCCCACCACTTGGAGCCAGCAACTTGTGTGGGTGGAGTACGCCCGGAACACCCTTCCCTGCTCGGCCACTGGTCTCTCGCCCTTCGAGTGCTCCGTAGGTTATCAGCCCCCGCTCTTCCCTGAGAAAGAGGTCAACATACCCTCGGCCCATACCCTCCACCGCTGTCGGCGTACCTGGAAGAGAGCCCGGTACTGTCACACCGTGATTTGTTTCACCTGTCTTGTGCTTGTCTCCACCCCCCACCAGGTGTTTCCCATTCCCCCCCCCCCCCCCCCCATTATCCCCTGTGTATTTATACCTGTGTTTTCTGTTTGTCTGTTGCCAGTTCGTCTTGTCATGCCAGCGTCTTTCTTCGTGTTTTTTCCTCTTTCTGGTTTTTGTTCTAGTCTCCCCGGTTACGACCGGTTTTGCCAGCCTGCCGTCTACATCTGCCAACTATTACCAGGATTACGAACCCCTGCCTGTCCTCGACCTGCCTTTGCCTGCCCCTGTATATTCCATAAATCTCTGAGACTTGAACCAACTGCCTCACGTGTCTGCATCTGGGTCTCATCCTGAGTCATGATACTGGGCTTAATTGGAACAGCAATGATTTATGGTAAAAAAAGACAGAATAGCAAAGTTTACTCATCAAATATTTGGAAACCAATGGTCTGGTGTATAAATATACACTATTTTAAAATGTTTACATTTTAGTCATTTAGCAGACGCTCTTATCCAGAGCGACTTACAGTTAGTGAGTGCATACATTTTTTACATTTACGTCATTTAGCAGACGCTCTTATCCAGAGCAACTTACAGTTAGTGCATACATTATTCTTTTTTTATTTTCATACTGGCCCCCCGTGGGAATCGAACCCACAACCCTGGCGTTGCAAACGCCATGCTCTACCAACTGAGCTACCTCCCTGCCGGCCATTCCCTCCCCTACCCTGGACGACGCTGGGCCAATTGTGCGCCGCCCCATTGGTCTCCCGGTTGCGGCCGGCTACAGCAGAGCCTGGATTCGAACCAGGATCTCTAGTGGCACAGCTAGCACTGCGATGCAGTGCCTTAGACCACTGCGCCACTCGGGAGATGGAACAATTCCGCACACTATATTATGCAAAGTTAGTATTGATATTATTGAACAATATTTATTCCATTTGCTACTGTACCCTTTAAAGGTAGACTCAGCTAAATGACTTTGCAACAAGCAGCACAGCAGATATTGCAATGAGCGAGATGCAAGACTTCACTCTCACACAGTCACACACAGTATCTGCGCATGTGCATTGGTTTGCTTCACACTGTTCACAGCATGGTAGCCAGAGCACCAAAACAGCGGAGAAGTTGAGCCTCGCGCTTCAATGATCTTAGTTGTTGCGGAAATTAACCCACTATGCGGTTTACCTTCTACGTCATATGGCTGAGTCTACCTTTAAATGAATATCCTAATTCTATGTTACCTCCCCTCTACGGAGAGGTGCATTAATAGGATTTAGAATATTCTCTGCATCTTTGTTAAAAAATATATATATTACAAAATTCATGTTATTGAAACATATGCTGTTTATGTTAGCATTGCAATAATACAACTGCATAATTCAAGTAGGCTGTACTTGGGACTTATATTGAAATAAGTAGGCAAACATACAAGTATAATAGCTAGGATGCTTATGAGCATATTATGTGAGTGTATTATCAACAATTTCATGGGTGTCTTGGCATTGATATCCAAATGCCTGCCTACAAAAATGTACTACACCCCCACAGTTAAGAGTTAACTTGAGGGAGAGTATAGCCTTAGTCATAAAATCAACTTATATAATTTTGACCTACATAAAATCTACCTCTATCATGACTTCTTGGGGCAGCAATGAGTGGCTTATGCAAGATCATTATTTAAATTTCATCTTTAGGTTTAATGGACTGTGAATCATTGGTGTGAGACTATTCGCCCATTTTGTTTTGAAATGCATTGATTATCTGAGTTTAACTGACTAAACATGTTAGTAAGATTGCGTTCTCTGTCATAGGACCATGACAAAAACAAAAAGGGAAGCTGAGGCATTAAATTCTGATGTAAATATTCACTCACGGAATAATATATTATGTTACTTTTGAAAGATTATAGTGAACATCTTACATGTACTTTTCCTGGACTGATAAAAATCAACACCAGCTCAGCAGAATTGTTTTCAGGGTTTGAAGTGCTGCTTGAAGCTGAAAGAAAAGGAAAGATAACATCTTGGGGTTTAAGTAAATTTGGTAGCCTATGCAGAAAGCCATTTTTAGTCCGTGTAGGCATACAAAAATTTCTCAAATGCAAAAACCCCTGATCCTAATCTATGTCACTATGCACAAAGGTCCAAAAGAAACAGATCAGCTGACACGAGGTAAAAGACATGTGACCTTACAGAGGGGGAAAGCAGATAACCGCCCCTTATGTCACGTTCGTTGACAGATGCGGACCAAGGCGCAGCGTGATAGGCGTACATACTTTATTGAGTGTACACAACACGAACCAAAACAATAAACGAAACGATACGTGAAGTCCTAGGTCATAACACAAACCTTTCGGATCAAGATCCCACAAATAACTAGTGCCAACAGGCTGCCTAAGTATGGTTCCCAATCAAAGACAACGAGCAACAGCTGCCTCTGATCGGGAACCACCCTGGCCAACATAGATCTAAACGATCTAGAATAAACACATAGAAACTACAACATAGAAAATCCACACCCTGGCTCAACATATAAGAGTCCCCAGAGCCAGGGCGTGACACCTTACTAGAGTTGATTAGTGCCACCAGGAGAGGAATGAGAGCGAGAGAGAGAGAGATTTGTTGTAATTGCTGTTAATATGATTACCACTGTCATTATTATTGTCTATTATATTCCTGTCTTTGACCATCATTGTTATATGTTTACTTTAACAATGTAAGTGTTTATTTTCCATGTCAATAAAGTATATATTGAATAGAGAGAGAGAGAGAGAGAGAGAATATCTATCCAACCTACTGTATTGTGTAGCATACTGTAGGCCTATAGTTTAATATTAAGTGTTGCAAGACAAATCCATGTGGAAAATCCTCAGGGAAGCAAACAGTGTTTTTATTTCTGAGTCACTTCCTCCTTCCCTTGGGTGGAGCAAATGAAACCAGGGCAGGTGTATTGTTATGAAAATACTTTCAAAATCACAAAATGGGGGAAATTTGGTATCTGAAAATGTAATTGTTTATTTACTACATCAATTATTTACTACATAAAAATGTTTTAGCCTACATCATAAAGGTCTAGTTTGAATAGATTGGAGTGAACTTGTAGGTCTATCTTGTTCTTACCACATAACAAAAACAGATTTCTGAAGTGTAATGTTCTTGGCCAAAACAGGGGTAAAGTTTACAAAATATATAAATATTTACATGTAAAAAATAGCCTTTAATATTTTGTTTATAAACGTGACTATTGTTGGATGCATAATGTTAATGAATCTATTGTTCGTTTTGATTTATCAAAACTAATGGGTTTGTGCAGATGACAATAATCCTGAAAGTTTATAAAAATCCATTACATAATTATCTGTTGTATTTTTTCTTGCCTCGAGTTTACATTGGAGACACAGGTTTCCATGCGTGGACGATTTAATCTGACGTTGCTCAGAGAGCAGGCAACGCAGTGAGAGACAGATTAGTGTGGTCCTCTCTCTCTCTCGAGCCAGTGCTGCGCAAGGGGAAGGAATGCAAGTGTGTGCTCCAGTAAACTAGGCTACTGTTGTCGTCTGAGAAAAGAGTTGACTTTGTGCGTTCTGTGCGCTGGGCTGGGACAGGGACAAGGCGAGGCGCGCGTGTGTGAGCAGAACATGGGTCATCACAACAGTTTACTTAATCATGATCTTCCTCCACATTATGGGACCGTAGGAACGCAGTCTGTGTGATCCCCTTCCGTTATTTGATCGTTTCTGGTTCTGGGAAACTTTGGCCAGCTGTTGAAATGGAGATGATAACTTTCATGTTGGCGAGCCTTGCCCTCCTGAATATCAGGGGCAACATTTTCACCAGGTAAGATTTACCCTAGTATAGGCTACAGCTCTTTTGACTGGGGTTACGGAGGAGACTTTCCCAGAAGCTTTACTAAGGATTTAATTTAATTGAAAAATGCATTTTATTTTTGTTATTTTGGAATAGCCTATATTATTAAATTAGGGACCATTTTTCGATTCAATAATAGCCTACTTTGCCCTTATTTTGTAGGTCAGCTGTTGCTATGTTCTGATTTAATAAGCACATTGAGCCTATAGCATCTGTTTCTGATGTGGCCTAGATAATGTTTTGATGGAAACTAATTCCTAACCTACCTGTTTTGGATTTGTCCAATTTGCGTAAAATGAGCTGATTACAAATAAATTCTAAAACCTGAGGACTTCTCTGCAATAGCAGAGGAATAGCCTACTCAATGCCAACATACTGTATGTAGCCTTTGAGCAGTTAGTCACAGCTTTAGTGCTGTGGGACCAATCATCAACATAGGCACAAATGCTGATCATAAGTTCATAGTAAAGATAAGGAGATAGAGGCAATCGAAAGTGGATATGTGGTATTTAATGTAACATTCTATGATGTGTGATAGATTTGTGTACAATGTCACACCATAACTTAAAATGAGTTGTTAATAACAATGAGATGATTATAATAACAGCGTGTTGTTACATTGTCATTTTGTAATGGATTTTTCATTGCATTGTAATGAAATTGAGTGGTCTTTGTTATAACACAAGTGGAATAAGGAACAGTCCCTATATACACTCTTGTACTTACAAAAATCAGTCTACCCCATAATAACTATACATTGACAATGCAAATACTATGCAATTGCTACCTCCACAAGGTTATTGTAATAGTCAATTTCCATCAATTTTTGCAAGTTGCCTCTGCCAGTATGGTGACATCAGAGTGACACACATCCATCCTGGTTGTGTCATTGCAACAGTCTCTAAACCGTAAACTGTTGAGGTATGTTCAGTTACACAAGTGTTGCAAACTGTCCCAGGTCAAAATGTTGTACAAGGTTGTGAATCCTGGTAGCCTCCTGCCACTCCTGACAACATATACCAGCAGAGGGTGTAATTGTTATTAGAATGTGATCTTTCACAGTTTTTTCTGAGATGTGTGTGTGTTTCTAATGAAAATGTCAAATTGAAGATATATTGTCCTCGCTTCGTGATCTTGATGCCTTAGCATTCTTTCTGCCACTATACGATCCCCCACATTTTTCATTTGTGAGTGTTTTGGAGTAGCAATCTGACAGTACCTCATCTCTCATTTCCAAACCTTTTAGAAACAAAATTCAAACATTTTCTTGAACATTGCTACTTGACGATGTGTTTAAAAAAAATTTGAAATGCCAGAATCAGGTCTGGCAAAATATTTCACTACCTTTGGTGTGAGTCACAGCTGTCCATAAATGGATTCAGGTGACATGCACCATAGCCTTGGTTGTGATAATCCTTAGAAGTAACCCACTTACTGGATAAATCCTCTTCACTATAATAATGCATTTACACAGGCAGCTCAATTCTGATCTTTTGCCCAATTATTGACAAAATAGTTGAACTGATTGGTCAAAAGACCAATTAGTGGAAAAAGATCGGAATTGGGCTGCCTTTGTAAACACTGGATAAATCCTCTTCACTGTAAGGCTGCATTTACACAGGCAGCTCAATTCTGATCTTTTGCCCAATTATTGACAAAAAAGTTGATCTGATTGGTCAAAAGACCAATTAATGGAAAAATATTGGAATTGGGCTGCCTGTGTAAATACAGCCTATTTAGGGCAACTGTTTAAATGGCAGACAGTTTTCACTGAAATGTGATCTTACATTTTTTTCTGTCGCATTTTTGTCGTTTTAAAATATTTAACATTTAGGATTAAGGTTTCATATAGTGTGTCCTGTAATGGAGTTTATTTTACTCACACGAGGCCTAGGCCTACTATGTTTTAGTAAAAAAATGGGTGGTTGTTGCAGTACTACTGGAAGTAGTCCAGAGATGCAAAGTTGAAAGATGTTCAAAGAAAAATATCACAAATACTCAAATGTGAGGTTGAATTCATTCTTGTTGGCTTACTGGGCTAGCAGTGGCATAGTCAGTGACCTTTTGCCTTCTCTTGGCAGTCTCTTATGCCCTACTGGAAGACATGGCGGCCCCATAGGTTAGATGCCAAATGGCTGCGGGACCAGCAGTGGAACAAAACACAGTTACACTACATTGGGTTTGTGGTGGAAAGGCCACAGTGCGTAGAGAGAGTTTTCAGCTTAAAGAGGCTTTAGAATGAATTATTTTTTTTTTTTTTTTTTTTTTTTTTTTTGGAAATGACAGAGCTTGTATGTGCCATATCAATGCAATGCCACCATTTCATGCCTGTACAGTTTCTCTACTGATTGACATTTAAAAGGCTGCAGATTTAATTACCCAGCTTTACGTGCTGTCAACATTCAGGATTTACAACAAAAAACGCAAGGATGACTAGTGCTATTCTCTTCTCTGTTCTCAGGTACAAATTGATGTCATTGTATGAAGCTAATTAAGCTTGTTAGTGCTGGGGCTACATTACAAAGCTTTTATATTTCTATCCGAGGCAAGAAAGTCTGCTCCTTTTGTGTTTTGTCTCCTTCACCTCTGTGAAGTGGCTGTATCTGAAATGGCACCCTATTCCCTTTATTGTGCACTAACCATGTCAATAAGTAGTGCACTATATTATAGGGAATAGGGTGCCATTTTGGACATAACCAGTTTGTTATAGCTAGTAAACAGATGGTTAGCGAAGCAGGGCCTCGGGAGATCCTGCTAATGAACTGAAATTAAAGACTAAGAGGAACAATATCGATGGGAAATTGACTTTGAACTCTTTGAACAGAGAGTGGAGGGGTGAGAGAGCGGGCCTCGCACGTTTACAGAAACCCCCTAGAGACCAATCAAACGCTCGGTTCTATTAGCATTTTATGACATCACATTTCCTTTACTGAGGGCATAATGTGTAGCCTGTGGTGTGGTGCTATACACCGCACTGGAGTTACTATAGGTAGACCTACAAGAGCAAGTCAGCATGTAGCCATTAGCCAAGACACCACCACTTTAAACAGGTCCCATCACTTTATTAGTTAGGTTATTAAGTTAGAACACCTAGTTGTTGAAGAGGAAGGCCACAAATGGAGGCACCTCTGGGATATTCCAATATCTATAGCATACCAGTTAGAATGAAGAAATGTATTGGGCATGCACTCTAAATAAGTGGTATGCTACTGTGGATATTGGAATTTAGTCAGGCTGTTTTAATATTTTTCATTTGCTTACATCTTTACAGGACCAACAAAACCAAAATCCAGAGTACTGTAACACACTTTGTTAAACTCTTTGGATTTTGTTTACATGGCATATGGTCTGCACAGCCACATTTCTATTTGACCTCACAGGTTCAGCACATTGTGAGTTTCTAAAAATATGATTTCAATCACTTTCTCATTGCACCCCTTTTGATTTGAACGAAACCTTCCATACATGCCCACAGTAGAAGTGGTCAGAAAGTGACTTTTTGGACCTGAATGCCAAAACATTCAGGAGATAGAAGTGCTCAAAGTTGACCCATTTTGCATACCCCACCCTACCATGAGACATCCATGTGTTCATCACTGAAAAAGATAAATGGTTGAGTTTGATATAATTTGAAAGTGTACAAACAGGGTTGTCAAACTGTTTAATGATAATTCATTAGATAATTTATTTTATTTTAATTATGTCATTTTTTAAGCTTTAATGTCAATTATTCAAGAGTATGCTGTGTCTCAACTGTGTCTCAACCGATGACGGGCACAACACAAACACCTCAGATGTTATAAAATAGCTACACATTTATGAAAATTTGAAAAATCTGAGTTGACACGTTTTTAGATAATTAATGTTAAAGCTTAAAAAACGTTTTTTCTTTTTAAGAAATCATAGAAGAGTTTGGCAACCCTGTTTCTAAGCTTTCAAATGATATCAAACTCAACCGTTTATGTTTTTCAGTGATGAAGACATGGACGTCTCATGGTAGGGTGGGGTATGCAAAATGGGTCAACTTTGAGCACTTCTATCTCCTGAATGTTTTGGCATTCAGGTCCAAAAAGTAACTTTCTGACCACTTCCATCATCGGCAAATATTTATGGAAGGTTTAGTTCAAATCAAAAGGGGTGCAGTCAGAAATGGATTGAAATCATATGGAACGCCCCAACAGCTACCTCTGAATATAGAAGCCGCTAATTAGGCTAGTGATAGACTACAGATGTCGATCACACGGAGCCAGTTCATTTGATGTATTAATTCAGTCAATGTTCTCATCTATTTATGTCATAGGATGTGATTATAACCCAAAAATACAGGCGCAAAAACACATTCCATGGTTTTAAAAGACAAAAGACAAAAATGGCTGGTACATTTTAGGGGTATGTTTCAGTTACTATGTAACGACTATGAACAAAGGGGTAACATATCAAAAGGGCTTTATTTGTTTGAATGTTGTTTGTTGAAGCACCTCTGCATGTTCTGAGTGCTGTCTGTCCTCTTACAATACTCTCTCTTGTCTCTTTTGAAACCAGGGGTCTGTTCAGGAGAGTGCAATGTTACTCAACTTTATTAAACTAGACATGCATTTCTAACACGTATCAATATGATTGTCAGTCAGGTAGAATAAGGATTTTTTTTCTCTATTCATTAAATCTCTAACTGCAACGTTTTGAACATTTTACATCACTAAATACAAAAGTTAGATCAGATTCAGAGTGAGACTCTTGGCCCTGTGTCTAATCAGTGCATCAGTCCAACAGTCCTACAATATATACAGAGCCCTCATAGTAGCGAACACTGCCTCCTGGTGGTCCGTTTCTGTGTGCACCGTGTCCAGTCAGAAGCAGCACATAGAAGATCAGGGTCAGAGTAGGAGTGCTGATCTATGATCAGTTTAGCCTTTTATATTATAATTAATAATATTTCATAGACAAGACGAGATTACATAGATAGGGCCTGATCCTAGATCTGCACTACTACTCTGAGACGCTTCATGAGTATGGGTCTTGAAGCTGAGAACACAAGTCAAGGGTTTATGAACTGCAACTTTAGTCCTGAAATGTGTGGAATATGAAGCTCTCAAGTGAGATAGCTTTGTTCATTATTCCAAAATCCCTACTGGATAATAGGCACTTTATAATAATGTATTATTGTGATAAGTTTGCTATTTTCTTCCATTTCCACCAAGGATAATTGCATGCCCACCGATAGCAAATCTATGTTCAACATGAAAATGCTACTTTCTCCTGTTTAATACTATCTTTGCCTCTCTAGCTTTCTTCCTTCAGGGCTTCTCCAGTGCTGCGGTTGCAGAGTGCTAAAGTGTGCTGTGTTTGTTCCCTATAGGGCCATGCTGAGTGACATTGGGGATTATATAGGTTCAGACATACAAATATCCTGGTTGCCTAATCTGGATGAGTTAATGAAGGGCTATGCGCGAAATTTTCGCCCTGGGATAGGAGGTGAGTATGGGATCTACTGCTCGTGGCATTGGATTGCATTTCACCCCCTCACATTTACAGTCATTCTTAGCATAGCAGGAACCAGGTATATAGGACCTAATCGTTTTGAAAATCAGACTCAAATGATTTTGACTCCTCCCAAATTCATCATATTAAATTCCCCTGCCCCCAAGAAAGTGCATTTTGTCATTTTTAAATCCTATTTGAAATAAATATTTACCCCTATGTAAATAAGATGTTTGAATCTATTAAAAGCATTTGTGTTTGAACGTGACGCAAAAGATTACAAACAAAAGCAATTAAGCATTGGAATTAGTTTGCGGAAGGGATTATTTAAATGATGCTTTGGAAATGGAAGACGTGCGTAGTGTTGCGAGAGAAAAGAAAGGAGCATTGCTGGAGAATGCCTTTGCTAAGAATGCCTGCCAAATGTGAAATATCCAATGTCCACAGCGTTAGATTTCTCAACCTGACAGCTTAACTCAGCTAAGCAGAGGTGAAAAAGCATTGTCGATATAAGAACCACCACCACCACAATGTCAGGCCTTGTGAACCAGCAACAAGGCTACTGCAGCCAACCACCAACACTTCCACACACCTATAGCTCAATATTATGCTCAACAATGATGTAGTCCCACTCTCTCCTTACTTCCTCTTATAAATAAGATAAGATAAAATCTCCCTCATATATTATTTATGTGCTAAGACAGCTACCATAAAGCCCAACTGATGGGCTATCTAAGGCCATTGAAGAATCATATACATCAGTTTGTGGGGTCTTACTCTGTCTATTCAACTCAAATTAGAAGGAAAGTGGTGCTACGATAGGTGTCTAGAATTTATACAAAGAAGTGTAACTGAGCCTCTCACAAAGGGTCACTATTCAAAATGAGCTAGGTTTTAGTGACAGTCTAAGGGATTATGGATTGCAGTTAGTTTTAAAATCCTCCAAAGTGAGTTTCATTGACTTTGACTGTCCTCCCACTTGTCAATGCTGATGACTGCTATCTCTATGGTGGGTAGGAGAATGGCTATAGAATACAATTTGACGTAAATGGTTATGGGATAAGTGCTGAATGGCGGAGAATGGTAATGTATGATTCCTTAATGTTCCGAATAAATAGCCTTTCAGTTCTGCTTCGGTGATCCTGATCTCCCTCCCTTTAGATTTCCTCCAAGTATCCACAATCTCAGCAGCACAAATCATGCTAATCATCGAGCAAACTACAAAAGAATGCTAGCTATGTATGCGCTTCTAAATACAACACCACTGCGCAAGCCCACGAGACCCCCAATGTCATGTTTATGAATGTACATAGTGCTATGTCACTTCCAGTAGAGCAATGTTAAGTTGGGTGGCCGTTGATCCTTATCTAGGGTTGTCTTAGGGAAGGAGGGGTGGAGGGAGGGAGGGAGAGAGAGAGGGAGGGATTGTTTTCTTTTCTCACTTCTTTTCCCACAGGCCCACCCGTGAATGTTGCCATGGCTATTGAAGTAGCCAGTATTGATCACATCTCTGAAGCCAACATGGTAATGTATAAATTCACCTGCAGGCCTTTATACAAAATGGTTGCCATATTTCACTGCTACTGTACTGTTGCAGTAAAACTCAATGTGAAACTACCACTTATGCGTCATCCACATCAGCCAATAGGGATTCAGTCAGAGCATGCATCTTATGAAAGGTATCCTTCCTTCCTCCCTTGAGGTATTCAACAGATTCAACCAGGTTGGATTGGTGAAAAGCAATAGTCTTGTAACCTATATTTCTCTTAACCAATACCGTTCAGATCAGTGATTACCCAAGGGAAGGTATTAAAGGACACATTTGAAAAGTATTGAAACAGGCCCTTTATCCATCTTCTTTTCTCCTAGTTACAGTACTGCCCTAAGTCTCAACGTGATCCACCACTCGGTCTCGTACCAGAGTTGGCAATGCCCTTGGCTCAGCTTTGTCCCTGTGTGTGTCTGTGCCTGTGTGTCTGTCTGTCTGTCTGTGTGTGCATGTGCCTGCTCTTGTTTTTACCGTGTGTTACTGCTTGGCAGGAGTACACCATGACCATTTTCCTGCGTCAGAGCTGGCGGGACGACCGCCTGTCCTACAACCATACCAACAAGACCCTGGGGCTGGACAGCCGCTTCGTGGATAAACTCTGGCTGCCCGACACCTTCATCGTCAACGCCAAGTCCGCCTGGTTCCATGACGTCACCGTGGAGAACAAGCTGATTCGCCTGCAGCCTGATGGGGTCATCCTTTACAGCAGCCGGTTAGGAGGGGGAGAGTGGGGAGGGGAGTGGAATGAGGGGAAGAGGGGGAGGAGAGAGGAGTAGGGGGTAGGGAGGAGAGGGGGGAGGAGGGGGAGAGAAAGTGGAGGGGGAGATGGGAAGAGGAGGTGGAGAGGGGGATGGTTGAGATGAGAAGGGGGAGAGAGGGTAGAAGGGTAAGAGAGAGAGGTGGAGATAATGTGTGAGGGGTAGGAGCATAGATGAAGTAGGAAAGACAGAGGAGAAGGATGAAAGGAGTAGGAGAGATGGAAGGCATGGGGAGGAGGGAGAGTAGAAAATGGTGTGGGCTGGAGAGGCCCTTAAACGATTGATTTGCCGTGGCCTGAAGTTAAGGCTATATAATGCCTAATGATAATGTCAAAGTGAGAATGACTAGGGCCTACCGTTACGGGTCAAGTTACCATTGTGGTTGACGTGGGTGTTTACTAAATGACTTGTTCTCCTCTCAGGATCACCTCGACTGTGGCGTGTGACATGGACCTGACCAAGTACCCCATGGATGAGCAGGAGTGTATGCTGGACCTAGAAAGCTGTGAGTTGACTTGTATTACTAATATAGACTTGTATCTACTTATATGATCTCAATACCTGTAGTCTGTCATGTTTCCTACCACTCTTAACCCTTTGATGCGTATGATCACATATTTGTGATCATTGTTGAGTGGTCCCTGCAGCGTACCATTGCAAATATGTGATTGGAACAGTAGCAACAGAACGTATGAGGCAACAAACGCGTCTAAACAGCATTGTTGTCTGAAAAGCATTTAAAAACTGTTTTGTACTGATGGGAAATAAAGGTCTTCAGAACTTTATTCCTCAATTTCACCTTTTATTGTCAAAGATAAATGCAAACTTCCTCATCCAAACATCACACGGAACACATCCACAGCCAAACTCATTCCATAAACCAGTCTAAATAACAGGTTGCGCTGACAAAAAACTAAACATAAGTTAGCGACCTAACAGCTAGACTTGTTTACAATGTACCACATCTCTGGTGAGCACAAGGGATAAATGTAATATTGTTTCGAAAAGAGATGTGTGTCAGCTAAGCCAACAGCAGCTACATTCTTTATGATGGCAGCCATGTTTGTTTATGTTTGACAAGCGAAAACTCCCTAATCCTAGAATGCCATTCACTATAAGACGCAAATAAACAAAGTTAAAGTCAAAGATGGCTGAGCCCATTGCTGGAAAAATATTAACTTAGTTTGGCCACTTTTCAGCACATTACAAATCTTCGATGTACTTGTTACAGTGTATACAAGAAGCGGAGCACATGATTTGACAAGTTGTTTACCGTTTTTGACAAATCACAAAGCAAATAAAATGTTAGCACCTCACAGATCATCACCCCAAATACAAGCCTACTGCCTAGCCTAACCGTAGCGTGAAAGCTAAACAGGAATGACATCATGATTTGGCCTCATATTCTTTCGAGTTCCCAGTTGTCTTGAAAGCACTATAAGTCAGTCGAGTGAACTATCCCTTCACCTCGTTTTGTTATAACATCTTTGGTCTGACAGACGCTTAGGTGACAACCAGAATGCATTGTATGATGTCAACAAACATGGCGCCACACATAGCTGGCAAATAGCTTAGCATTAGCTCATCATAATCAGTACAACCTTCAAAAAAGTATTTTACACACATCATGTGTCCATTAAAATCTATACAAGAATCGGAATGCATGATTTGTCACCAGTACTTGAAAACGTGAATAAAACAGTAAATACATTATGCTCCATACATACATACTGTATGCTACAATAGAAACAACAACACAATATACAGAAAATAAGGCACTTACTTTGATAGGAATGCACACATGTCCAAAGTTATTATTTGTAAGGAAAACAACAATGAAGGCAATGCGGGCGCCAGCCAGAAAATGTGCCAAGGGGAAAAAGTTTTGTACAAGGCCTGTTCTGACTAGAGATGCGCTATGTCTTCATGCTTGAAATGGGCTACTTATTATGTAAAACACCTGATCTCCCAAGTCTGGAACAGTCTCTTATTAAACTTAAGGGATCAAAACCTGTAGGCTGTAGCCTGCTCTACTGAGAAAACAGAAGAGGACAGGAAAACACTTTAGACTACTCCCAGTGTCTGTAGAGCTACATGTCGGCCATAATATAAAGGGAAATTGTGTACCACAAGTACCAAAAGCAAGGCTAGGGTCAATGCCATACACATACATTTAATATTCCAATGATGCTCCATTGTTGTTGGGCCGAATGTTGTTTGTTTGTTGACTGCTTGTTTGTTGACTGTTTGTTTGTTGACTGTTTGTTTGTTGACTGCTTGTTTGTTGACTGTTTGTTTGTTGACTGCTTGTTTGTTGACTGTTTGTTTGTTGACTGTTTGTTTGTTGACTGCTTGTTGACTGCTGGTTTGTTGACTGTTTGTTCCAGATGGCTACTCCTCAGAGGACATTGTGTACCACTGGTCTGAGAGTCAGATACACATCCACGGACTGGACAAACTGGAGCTCTCCCAGTTCACCATCATCGACTACAAATTTGTCACGGAGACGATGAACTTCAAATCCGGTGAGCTTCCCCCACCTATCCTTGTTTTGCTATCACCATGGTTACTGTACTTAACAGCCAGTGGGATGTCTGTGAAATATCTCTTCATTTTTATACAGAGGACTTTTTAACTAATATGTTTTGAACGCAGACACCTCTGAGGGTATCTTCTATGCACGGACAGAATGGCTCATGTTATTCAGAGAAGAGTAGATGATATGTTATGACTTTTTGAATTGGAAAATCTGGTATGGCCAGAGGAGGATGTGCCCCCTCCTCTGAGTCTGGTTCCTCTCAAGATTTGTTCCTTCTAGGGACATTTTCCTTGTAACTTGCTTTTTGGGGTCTTGGTCAGGTTACTGTAGGACTTTGTGACAATTGTTGATATAAAAAGGGCTTTATAAATCATTTTGATTGATTGACTGATTGAAAAGCTAATGCTGGTGTACTTTTTTCACTCCAAGCCGGACGTTTCCCGCGGCTCAGCCTTCGCTTCCAGCTGAGACGTAACAGAGGCGTTTACATCATCCAGTCTTACATGCCCTCCATCCTATTGGTCGCCATGTCCTGGGTATCCTTCTGGATCAGCCAAACAGCAGTCCCGGCTCGGGTATCCCTGGGTTAGTATCACGTTAAGAGTATTCTGTTAGTGATATTGGGGGCGTAGTCTGCAAACTAGTCGGCCTGGAATGCGGCTATTAGCTTGCTGTGGGTATGTTAGTAGAGATATGACAGTGAAAACACAGATTAAATGAGACAGCAATAATTCAAAGTGAACTGAATGCGTCTACTTTTATGTTGTGAAAGATACGTTGACCTAGAATTTGAAGAAAATAAAGTGCATTATCATTGAGAAGTATATTCATAGGAATGTGATATACCTGACGACAAATTATATTTGATTAATGAAAAAGGTGAAACCCTCATCACAGTTCAAGTTGTAGATTCTTATCTTAGGTTGTTTGTGGTGTGTAAACCAAAAACAATCCTTAATAAATATAAAAAAGAGGAAGAAAATGTATTCCATCTTAAAGGTGCAATCAGCAGTTGCTACATCAGTTTTTGGACTTATAAATGAAATATTTGTACCCATTGATTATTGAAGAATATAACTTATACATGCCTCATGAGCTTAGTTCAACTGTCGTACCCCATCAGAACCCAAAATACAAGCTTGTTTTTTACGCCAATGTTTGTAAACAATGTAAATGTAAACAAACACTATATGGCCTCATAACATGGTTAAAACTATACTTTTGATATCATAGGTAGTCAGTCCTTGCATCCATAGCTCTGTCTATGTCATTTTTCCAGCCCCATCCCTCAGCTTTTTACTGAAATAGGGGCGGGGATTACGATTATTGTTTCTACTACTGATTGCCGCTTTAAAAAAGATAGAATTGATTTCACTTTCACTTTTAATTTATTTCACTTAAACGATTCCTCTTTTCTATTCAAAACACAAATGTAATTTCCATATATATTTTGGTAAAGGGATCACCACTGTGCTCACCATGACAACTCTGATGGTGAGCGCCCGCTCGTCCCTCCCCCGAGCCTCAGCCATCAAAGCGCTGGACGTCTACTTTTGGATCTGCTACGTGTTTGTGTTCGCCGCGCTCATCGAGTACGCCTTCGCTCACTACAACGCCGACTACAGGCTCAAAGAGAAGGCCAAGAGCAAGGCCAACAAGATGAGCTCCGAGGTAAGAAGGGAGACCAACGCTTTCCCAACTGGTGTTTCCCAAAGTTTAGTGGTAGGCCCGTTCCTCATTTGACCCATTTGTACCACAACATTCATTCAATGTTCACATAGTGTTCAAGGGACATTGGGTTGACACAATAGGTGCAAAAAATGTGAGTAGGAACCTACAAGCACTTGCATTTTGAACATGCAGAATTTCCTTTGGGTGCCTTTGTTGTGAGGTAAAGATACTTCACAAAGGAATTGATTGCCTTTCTCTATTGACATACAGTACCAGTCAAAAGTTTGGACACACTTACTCATTCAAGGGTTTTTCTTTATTTTTACTGTTTTAACCAGACTCAGAGGAGGGGGCACATCCTCCTCTGGCCGTACCAGATATAGAATAATAGTGAAGACATCAAAACTATGAAATAACACATATGGAATCATGTAGTAACCAAAAAAGTGTTAAACAAATCAAAATATATTTTATATTTGAGATTCTTCAAATATCCACCCTTTGCCTTGATGACAGCTTTGCACACTCTTGGCATTCTCCCAACCAGCTTCACCTGGAATGCTTTTCCAACAGTCTTGAAGGAGTTCCCACATATGCTGAGCACTTGTTGGCTGCTTTTCCTTCACTCTATGGTCCGACTCATCCCAAACCATCTCAATTGGGTTGAGGTTGGGGGATTGTGGAGGCCAGGTCATCTGATGCAGCACTCCATCACTCTCCTTCTTGGTAAAATAGCCCTTACACAGCCTGGAGGTCTGTTGGGTCATTATCCTGTTGAAAAACAAATGATAGTCCCACTAAGCCCAAATCAGATGGGATGGCGTATCGCTGCAGAATGCTGTGGTAGCCATGCTTGTTAAGTGTGCCTTGAATTCTAAATAAATCACAGACAGTGTCACCACCAAAGCACCCCCACACCATAACACCTCCTCCTTCATTCTTTACGGTGGGAACTACACATGCAGAGATCATCCGTTCACCCACACTGCGTCTCACAAAGATACAGCTGTTTGAACCAAAAATCTCCCATTTGGACTCCAGACCAAAGGACACATTTCCACCGGTCTAATGTCCATTGCTCGTGTTTCTTGGCCCAAGCAGGTCTCTTCTTATTATTGGTGTCCTTTAGTAGTGGTTTCTTTGCAGCAATTCAACCATGAAGGCCTGATTCACACAGTCCCCTCTGAACAGTTGATGTTGAGATGTGTCTGTTACTTGAACTCTGTGAAGCATTTATTTGGGCTGCAATTTCTGAGGCTGGTAACTCTAATGAACGTATCCTCTGCGGCAGAGGTAACTCTGGGTCTTCCATTCCTTTGGAGGTCCTCATGAGAGCCAGTTTCATCATAGCGCGTAATGGTTTTTGCGACTGCACTTGAAGAAACTTTCAAAGTTCTTGTAATTTTCCGGATTGACTGACCTTCATGTCTTAAAGTAATGATGGACTGTCGTTTCTCTTTGCTTATTTGAGCTGTTCTTGCCATAATATGGACTTGGTCTTTTACCAACAGAACTGATTGGCTCAGACTCGTTAAGAAGGAAAGAAATTCCACAAATTAAGGCACACCTGTTAATTGAAATGTATTCCAGGTGACTACCTCATGAATCTGGTTGAGAGAATGCCAAGTGTGTGCAAAGCTGTCATCAAGGCAAAGGGTGGCTATTTGAAGAATCTAAAATTTAAAATATATTTTGATTTGTTTAACACTTTTTTGGTTACTACATGATTCCATATATGTTATTTCATAGTTTTGATGTCTTCACTATTATTCTACAATGTAAAAAAAATAAAAAATAAAGAAAAACCCTTGAATGAGTAGGTGTGTCCAAACCCTTGACTGGTAGTGTATCTCTCTCTCTGCTTCTCCAGTCGGTCGTGAAGAATGGGAAGCAGGCCATGGTGCTCTTCTCCCTGTCCGTGGCTGGAATGAACCAGGGCCTGATGGTGTCCAGCCGCCGTCCGCAGCGCTCCGGCACCGAGACTGCTGAGGAGGAGGACGGGGAGCCCAGGAGGGGGCGGGGGGCCAGAGCATCAGAGGAGAGAGAAGAGGATAAGAAGTGCTGTAGTTGTTGTTCCAAGTGCTGTTGCGCTTGCAAGCCCCTCCAAGCCGACACCATAGATGTCTATGCCAGGGCCGTGTTCCCTGCCACCTTCGCCATCGTCAATGTGATCTATTGGGTGGCGTACACCATGTGAGTTGGGAGGACTAAGGATGGACAGGCTGGCACCGCCAAGGACGGGAGTACTGTACATAGAGGAAATTCATGCCGCTTTAAATTCTGGGACTTATAATATAGGTTGCACCGATGTAAACAAGGCTTCCTTAAGAAGAACTGGATTTGTATAATATGTTGAAGTAAGGACCAGGTAAATAGCAGATAAAATACAGTAGATGGACGAACAAAATCAGATCAGGTATATGGACATGTTCTGATGTACATGTTATGTACAATGGAGCCTTGAGTGGTCGTCAATGTCTTATCCTGAGTGAGGTTCACTGTATGATAGCCCAGCTAGTGACTTTTATCTCCAAAAACCTCCACTAGCCACCCTACCCCTACTGTGGCAATCCCCTTAGATACTGATTGCTAACCCACTAAACCACAGCAATGGACTGACGTTCAGCTATATCCTGTTACTGTACATGTATGAACTCTGCTCACACCAGCAACATACACAGCACACTAATGTATCATTGCTGAAAACTAATGTGCACAACAATTGCTGTTCGCTTAACTCACAAACACATCTCATGTGATGGACAAACTGTTGAAAACAAGAAACTGTCCAAACTATGAGGTGTAGACTATTATGCTGCAGGGCTTATTCTCCCCAACCCACCTCCTCCCCTCCACCGTCCCACCTCCTCCCCTCCACCGTCCCACCTCCTCCCCTCCACCGTCCCACCTCCTCCCCTCCACCGTCCCACCTCCTCCCCTCCACCGTCCCACCTCCTCCCCTCCACCGTCCCACCTCCTCCCCTCCACCGTCCCACCTCCTCCCCTCCACCGCCCTACCTCCTCCCCTCCACCGTCCCACCTCCTCCCCTCCACCGTCCCACCTCCTCCCCTCCACCGTCCTACCTCCTCCCATCCACCGTCCCACCTCCTCCCCTCCACCGTCCCACCTCCTCCCCTCCACCGTCCCACCTCCTCCCCTCCACCGTCCCACCTCCTTCCCCCACTCCTCTTTTTTCTCCTTCTATAATTCCTCCACCCGTTTTTCCACTCATTTTATTTGGGCTGCAGAGCATCTTATCTCCTCCAGCCAGGTCTTCCTGTTTCCTGTTTCCTGATTATTATTATTATTAAAGGACTTCCTCCACTACCTGTGTATCTCCACGCTGGAAATGTTCACTTTGGAGTTTTAATGCCTCGGCTTAAAGTTTTGGAACAGTTGTTTCTCATGATTGTCTCTAGAATACTGTATCTACATTCACATGTACTGTAGGACTCATAACATAACATTCTCCAAAATCCAAATGTTTAGCATCATTGCAGGCATTATGGACTCATTAAGAGCATAGAGAAGCTTCTACGTCTATTTTTTAGCTACTTTGTGACAATACATTTCAGATTCAGGGATACCCCCTTTATGAAATCAACTCCAGTTTGAGGAATAGACTAATTTGAGGCATGGTGAATAATTTAATCTGATTTCCAGATTATGCACTTTGAGATAGATATGTGCAATATTTATAATTCAGATGATCTCAGGCAGCATGTCCCTTTGTGTAACAGTAGAACTGGAACCTCATTGGGTATAACATACTGGTTATAAAATAATTAACATTGTGGTCCTCTAGAAGTAATTGCGGAATCAGGTGTGCGTGATGTACATGTATATACATGATGAAGTAAATACTAAGTTGCATCTCTAACCAGAATTAAGATAGTGGTTTATTTGCAGTAGGTTTATTACTGCTTATTACCTGTTATTACTGCTTACTAGTACTGCTACTGGTTGTTGTCTGTATGGTTAGTAAGTACCATACAAACTATTGTAACCTCCTAGCTATATTCCCTTAGTGATCAAATCAAATTTCATGTATTTATAAAGCCCTTTTTACATCAGCAGATGTCACTAAGTGCTTATACAGAAACCCAGCCTAAACCCCAAACAGCAAGCAATGCAAATGTAGAAGCATGGTGGCTAGGAAAAACTCCCTAGAAAGGCAGGAGCCTAGGATGAAACCTAGAGAGGAACCAGGCTCTGATATCTTGGGAGTGTGTTTTTGGGCCATGTTTTCTCTGTGTGGAGGCCGGCTGGGGGGCGGGAGTAAGGCCGTTATCAGGCTCAGCAGTGCTGAACTGGCCAGGGGACACCCCTGGGTGGGAAAGGGCAGGGCTGGGTGCCCATGTCAGGCTGTCTCCTCCAGGGTAGATAACTTTGTTCTGGGCTCAGAGAGATGACATCATGAAGGATGGCGATGAAGATGTCGGCGCAGAGATGGGTAGTGTTATCTGCTGCCCTTCACTAACAATGCCACCTAGCGGACACACACACATGCACACACACACGCACACACGCACACACACACACTGTAGGCCTTACATAATATTTACGATTGGTGCTCCAGGCCAGAACTCATGGTGCACTTCAGATCCACTTTCTCCCGGATGTTGTCAATGAAAAGTTATTCCATAGGACAATTTCAAGAACTGTTTACCCAGTGGCATCCTGCCAAATTGAGATATCAAGAGAGAGGAAATGTCTAATAACATTTTACATAATGTTGGATAAATGTGTTATGAATGATGAACTGCAACACTCATGAAGGTGTTATGCCTGGTATTATAAAGATGTTATGAATGCCTTAAAGATGTTATGAATGCCTTAAAGATGTTATGAATGCCTTAAAGATGTTATGAATGCCCCCTTGAAGTCAAATGTTACCCAGAGATTCAGGGATCTCTTATCTCCTGTGCCTACGCATCCAGTGGGGCTACCTCTGTCAGACATGGTCTGTGTTGGGAGCCAGGGGTGGTGGTGGTGTGTGTATTTAGGGTGGGAGGTGTTTAAAAGGCAGACACAGCGGCACAACCTAGCCATATCATATAGAAGTGAGGGACTGTAAATTACAGGGGTGTATCTACTCACAAATACAAAAGCCTCTCAAACTTGAAGAAATATTGGAGCTACATTTAAACCACTCTCAACAAAGATTTAATTTCATCTGGATTTTTCACTCTGTAAGTATGATCATATAGTGTATACATGTTTATTGTATGAAGAAATTAGACTGACAACACATTTTGATCGTCACAATAATACTTTTGCACTTTTAGTACAAAAAGTTAAGTTTAGTTAGTTAGCTACTTATAGTTTAGTTAGTTATTTAAATATTCTAAGTATTATAGTTGTGTTAGTACTCAAAAGATGCAACTAACAGTAAATAATTACATATTTCTAATTGACTTGCATTGATATTCAGTGACGAGTACATTCCCAGTGTGAATTTAACCAGTTGAGCTAACAGCCGTTTTGCACTATAGTTTTACTCATCAATCTAGCAAGAAGGCAATATTTTATTAATGTAGTAGTGTTCCCTCCCCCCCTAGAAAGCTATTACCTTTGGCTTTCACCTGGAATTGTTTATTTATGTCTGAGAAAAAAACAACACTTGTCAACCCATATGATCTAGTACACAATAAAAGTATAATAAAACATATACAAATATGATGGTATGATTTTTTTTAAATAGTGAAGGAATAAGCCTTTTCATACTTTATAATACACTATGTCCATATTTAGTTATAATCTGTTTTAGGAACATCTACCCAAAATATTTCACCTTCTTTATTACTTTACCAAACATATCATGACATTAGTGATAGTCAAAATCTGTTAAATTTGTGAACATCTAAATCAACATTTGGGCCATTTAAACAGTGTGCGTCCCTCCTATAGACAAGGGGGGAAGGGCTATGTAAAGGGCTCGATTTTGTCGTTCTTAGCATATGCAATGTGTCTCCCTCCGACGTAAAACAAATGCTTGACTTTCACACAAAATTACTTATTTACTTATTTTAGGTTTAAGGAAGTCTGTAAGTCGTAGAGCTATGAAAGTATTTAGATCCGCCTGCTCGAGACACATTCACTGATTGCTTTGCCATGTCTGTGCCGTGAAGCAGTCGAGCTGGATAAATGTTTTTCTAAGGACTGCCCCTTTGACATAACGTCGCTGTGAAGTGATATAAATGGATGTAATGATGCAGCCGACCACCAGAGGGAGGCAAATGCACATTTATTCGACAGAGGGTGTTGACATGGTCCTAGGAAGGTCTGGATGGCTGTCTTCTGACTTATGAAATGGTGGGAAATCAATAAAATAAGTCATCAGCTATGGAGGCTACTCATTGTCTAATGCCAATTCAACTGTTTGGTTTGGTCACAGATGGGCTAATACTGAATGTATGGGTTGATAGAGCTATTAGCCATACAGTATGGTATGTTAACCTAGTTCATCAGGAGTCAGACCAAGCCCAAGTGTTCAAATTTTCCTAATTGAGATTTGTTTTTGGTTAAAGTGCGATGATGACTCAAATATAAGAGGCTTTTAGAAAAGTGACTCAGTACACTCAGTTCGTTGCAAAAATGGGTAAAAAAATATTTGATATTTTTCCTAACCTCTAACCACACTTACTATCATGCCTGCCACTGACACACACTAACCTCCTGGGTGATACCTATAATAATAATAATAATTGATACCTCACATACTGTAGTAGAGCACTGATGAGCTTACCTCCTTCATAGTCTGGCCCCATCTGTTTGTGTTTTAGCCAACTCCTCTGACTATTCATGTATGACATGGCAACGATAATCGGAGTAGTTGACTGAAGCAGATCTGGGACCAGACACCTCATTTGATCCTAACGTTAATCATTAGGGCCAAACTGGCCTTAGGTCAGTGTCTTAACGGCCACTTCATCCTCCTCAACTGGGGCTTGTGGGACTCCTCTCTCAGACAGGATGTGTCGCATCATCAACTTCCTGCTAGCTCTGCTGAGCCGTTTCCTGTTTGCCGTGCACGGCGTGGTGACCGTGTGGCGTGTGGTCGCCGTCAAAGGGGAGCCCCTCTATTGGCTGCTGCTGATGGGCGTGGCTCTGCTGGGGGTGGAGATGGCAGTCACCATCAAGTGTACCCGCAACGCAGAGTGGAAATGGTAACGTCTATATAATGTCTATAGCCTTACAGTGCCTTCTACAGCAATGACACAAAGCTAATAATGATGATCACTCAGGATCATTACCTATCATACACAATAAAGTCTTATAATGACTGCATTAAAATGCATTATACCTGTTGGCAAAGAAAAGTATTAGCCAAACTGGTTCTGGCACCAATGTTATGTTGTAAGAATAAACACATATGAATATGCCAGTGCTTCCTCCTCCAGTAACCTGTCCCTCTAACATCAGCCACTTATGCTGCACATACTTCCAATTCGTATACACACTCACATTCTCAAGTAATTTAGAAGCACTCTGCTCCATTATAGTGCATGACCTCGATATAGCGTCCTCCTCACCATCTATTCTCCATATTTTTCACAGTGCACGCACACGCACACACACACAATACACAATGTAAGACTTACACCTCCATTTTTGCACCATCTTTATTATCTATTCCTGTCTTGGGAGTCGTAGCCCAAGTGGAAAACCTAATGAAAAACAATCAAACAGCCCCAGGGTTACACAGCAATTGTAATAATGATTAACCACACAAATGAACTCATTAATTTCATGCGAGGAAAATGATTTTTCCTTTCCTGTTCATGTTGCGATAAATGGAAATTTTAGATAGAAAGACATTAGCAAATAAACCCGTTGGCCTGGCTGTCTTCGCATTCTACACAGCTCTGCCTGTTTTATATTTTTTACAGGGGTGGAATAGGGGTTGAAGGGTTGTAGTTGTCTCCACATAAACCTTTTTGTATGGGGATAAATCATCTGTGACCTCACCACTGTACTGGTGGAACTATTGTACGAGGTGGTGAGCGGCAGATACAGTGAGCCACTTATTGTATGCATCTCTCTCCACGTATAGCTCTCCATCTCTATATATACAGTATATCTCCCTAAAAAAATTATATGTCCTTCAATAACTCTCTGTCTCTCTCGCTTGCTGGAAGCACTGTCATTTTCCATGAAAAGCCAGTCTATTTATGTGACTCTTACTCCTTTTCTCACCGTCGTCTCCTGCATGGCCTACATGGCTCAGGGCCCCGAACTGAATTAACATAAACGCTGGATGACCTCTATTCCACACCCTTCAAAGGGATGACAGGAAATTATGTCATTGCCGATTCAAACGCAACAGGGGAATGATTCCTCCATCGATCCTAATGATGCTGCAGAAGCCAGCCCTCATATTTCCTCCATGTGCAGGGGGGCATGCTGTGACGGAAACTTACTCCAGGCCCCTCTCTCCCTCTCACTTTGAAGTTCTCTCCTCGTGGAGAAGGCTTTGCGCTGTCAAGTGGGATTTGCATACATGATGAGAATAATTGGCCATCTGAAATGGGACTCTTCTGGAAGGCTTACTTCTTATACTGACTGGCCAAAAAATGTGTGTGTGTTGCTAAAAATAGCTTCCCCCTTCCCTCCTCGTCGCTTTACTTTTAGGTTCTCCCCCATGGTTTTCCTCTACCTCAGTACCGTCATCCCCTCCATTTGGTTCCTGGAGCTCAGCCTGCTGCAGTACAAGCTCCCGGTCAACATCTCCTCTGGCCCCGAGCTAGAAGAGCTGCTGGCTCACATCCCCATCTCAGCGGTAGGTATCACACTACAAACCCCCCCCGCCCCCCCGCCACATTTAACTGATACCTGATGACAGATAAGTTATTAATCTCTAGGGAATCAATTATAAGGCAGGATGAGGGAAATGTAATCAACACATTGATTGAGATGAAGTCCGGATTAGACTCACTTGAAGATACTGTCAGATATATCTGTGATGGGTGATTTTGGGGATATTTCTTTCATATGGGATTTGGGAATTTTTCTACTTTTGAAGTTTGGGGACAGAATTGATTTGAATCTTGGAGACCAAGATAATGACAATTGAGTCAGGATATATTCCCTCTTCAAAGCTCTAATGTGTGCATTTTATCTTCTGGTGAAGGAGCATTTTTTAAGATACACAGCAACTTTCTTAGAAGACAATAAAGTATCATCTCATTGTGTGCTGTGTTGACTGAAACAGGACATCTTGCAGCTCGACCCAGAGAACTGGGCGGCAGGGCTGGAGCAGACCATGCTCATCGTATTGGTGCTGGGCCGCTGGCTCATGCCCAAAGGAGACATGTCCCGCGACCAGCTCTCCCAGCTCCTCATGGTCTACGTGGGCCTGGGTGCTGACATCCTGGACATCTTTGACACCTTCAAGGAGCCCGAGGTCAAGACCAACCGGGCCGTCATCATCATGGGCCTCACCCTCTTTTCCTGGGCCCTCATGCAGTTCCCCCTGGTCCTGACCCAGACCAGCCCTCCCAAGGCCCATCTCCAGCCGTGTTTGTCCCAGCCCATCTCCCCCCAGCGGGGCCTCTCTCAGGGGGGAAGCGTGGCTGTAGTGGAGGGACTGCCTGGAGCTCACCCCTCCTGCTATAGACCGTGCTGCTCCAGTGAAGTGTGGAGTCTGCTGTTGACTGTGGGGCTCCAGGACGGGCCGTTCCTCGTCTACCGTCTCTACCTCATGATCAGGGAGAATGTTCTCAACCAGCTAATGATCTTCTTCACCTGTAAGAACATCCTTGTTGTCCTGCTGGAGTTCTACAGGATCTTTGTGGTGCAGTGTGAGCAGCAGGGGGAGGCATGCCTAGGGGGGCTGGAGAGGTGTGCAATGCCCTGGTGCCAACAAGTCCAGGAGGAGGAGGTGGAGGGGGAGGGAAGAGGACAGGAGAGCGGAGAACAGAACTGCCAGACAGAGATGGAGGGGGAGATGGTGGAGGGGGACGGGGACGGGGACGGGGAGGGGGAGGGGGAGGAAGAGGGGAAGGGGAAGCGGGAGGGTGGCGGGGAAGGGGAGGAAGATCAGGATGAGGAGGAGGGAGGAAAGGAAAGTGGAGAACAGAGCTGCCAGACAGAGGTGGAGGTGGAGGGGGAGAGACAAATAATCAGATCAGAAGGGTTGCCGGATGTAGAGCCTACGTTGCCGTGAGGCATGACTCGACCCTTAGGCAGAATTTCCTTCACACACCAAGAGCCTGCCAACTCTATAACCTCCAGTTCAAAAGTGTATCATGAAGAGACTCTGGTCTCTGGAGGTTCAATGCCATGGAGTAGTGTAGTAGACCACTGAGCAAGCGGAGTCCCTGAAAATTTGATCATATATATTATGTAATTCCCATGATAAATCTATGATAAGAGAGGGAGAGAGATGTACTTTCCATGAACACTATCACGCAACATACAACATCAGTCCACCAAGATGATTACAACCCAAGTCACATCTGTGAATCTCTCTGTGACTGTCTTTATATAGTACAAAATGCTATGTGTATTATAGGTAATTAAATAATGCAGGGTTTCCCAAACTCGGTCCTGGGGTCCCCCCTGGGTGCACGTTTAGTTTTTTGCCCTAGCACTACACAGCTGATTCAAATAATCAAAGCTTGATTATGAGTTGATTATTTGAATCAGCTGTGTAGTGTTAGGGCTAAAACCAAAACGTGCACCCAGGGGGGACCCCAGGACCGAGTGTGGGAAATCCTGAAGTAACGTGTATTACTTAGCTAACATCAGATCAATCAATAGCAATGTATTATCGTGCCTTTGTTTTTATGTATTCTTAGGAAATATCTAATTTGTATGTCATATTTGGAAATGTTATCATTTTGTAACATTATACATTGAGACATAGGTTAGTGTGATTTTTGGGTTTGGATGATAATGATGATGATGATGATGATGATGGTGTGATGGTAATGATTTGAGAGATCTGTGTCTGTTTTTAAAATCGACATTGTTTCAGAAAATGCTTTTAAGCTTTCTTTATTGAGAAATACATGAAAATAAGCTCTTGGTTGCTGTCCTTTCATTTTCTACCATGTGATGGCAGTGTTACCAAGTCAAACAAATCACAACTCAACTATTTATCAAATGTAAAGATACATACCAATGAGACAGAGCATTCCGAGCACAACATTCCCTTCAAAGTAACATTATTCACAATATTTACAATATTCACAGTGGTGATATATGGTTTGTATTTGACAATTTCCATTATTTGACATGCTCTCCCTTCCACAGATCTTATGATGAGATTGGACAGTGTCATTGAGCAATTCAAATGTTAATGCCATTAATAGTTTGCTTGACCCCCCCCAACTTGGGGCCATTGTCAGACATTACTGATTTTGGATTCATCTGTGGATATGTTAAGTTTATAATACAGTTTCAGGAAGAGAGCTTTAAGCTTCAGAGGACACAGCTAATCCACAGCAGGAACTTCCATATATGGGCGTTGTCTTCCGTATTGGAATGCAGCCTTAGAGCAGGAACTCTATATATGGTCCCAGACACCAATATTGGAATGTGGCCTATTAGCAAGGAACTCCATATGGACATAGAGCCGTGACCATGCCAATCTGGTCACCCGCATCCAATCTTCATTAGCCACAAGCCTGCCTCACTCACCTGAATACCCTTGCTCAATCAACCACACTCATAGTATTTAAACGGCATCCAACTTCACTCCTTTGTACAGCTTCGGGATAGGAAAGAGGAAGGAAGATGGTGGATGAACAAGAACAAGAACAAGAACAAGAACAAGAACAAGAACAAGAACAAGAACAAGAACAAGAACAAGAACAAGAACAAGAACAAGAACAAGAACAGGAATATTGGGACAGGAACACAGAAACATGGATTTCTGAGGAGGAATGGAGGTGGAAGAAGAGGTCGAAGAGAATGAGGAAACCAGAGGGTGGAGTTGAATTTGAGGAAGATGGTGATAAAAATGGAGATAGGGTGTCGAAGAAGATTGGTGTCAAGTGCAGACAGAGTGAGCTGTGCACCAGACCGAGTTCTGGAGGTGAAATGGAAGTGAATGGGGGTGGAAGGTGTGATATTTGTTTGTGTTTCTTCTGCCCAGAGGGAGCGGGCGCTCCATGTCACGCAACTTGGGTCAAGATCTGTTTCTTGCTTTGCGCTTAGGAATAGGGCACCATTGAAAGGAGTGATTTCTGGGGTAGCGTTAAGTGTGGAGGTGGAACAATTGACGTTTTAGATTCCTTGTGTTTGTGACGTCCGCTGTTTGGTGCGACGCAGACCGGGTGGTGAGCGTGGTGAAACAGAGGAGTCACTGTTAGTCCTTTTGTGTTTTTACCCGACAAAATGATGGCAGGATATCTCAGTTATCCTGTTAGAGCTTTTGTACCGAATCCACTGCGCTGTTTTAGGTGCAACGTTTATGGTCATGTTGCAGCAGTGTGTAGGAGGGAGATTCCAAGATGTGGGAGGTGTGCAGGAGGGCATGGGACAAAGGATTGTGTAGTTTCAGTGGATAGAATTGTGTGTGTTAACTCTAGGGGTGCCCATGTTGCTCGGAAGTGTCCAGTAACAAGAGAGACAGGTTGAGGTGGCCAGAGTCAGAGTAGTGCACAGGGTGTTGTATGCTGAGGCAGTGAAGAAAGTAGAGGAGGATGGGTCAAGGGTGAGGGATTTGGAAAGGATCCCTGTCAGTAGTAGATCTTAACCAGCACAGAGTGATTGGCCAACGAATGATTATATGCTTCAGTAAGGTTGGACTCTTCGCGTTCATATTTACCAATGGTTATCAACTGTACTGCAGAAATGAAATGGAATCACAGAAAATAGATGTTGTGGTGGCAGCTGCAGAGAAGTATTTGGGTATACGAGATTTGACTTCAGAAAAGTTACAGGGTGTGTTGAGTGGTGGTGTCCCGTCCTATTAGGTCGTTGGCATAGTGCAGAGGGTCAAAGTCGTGGAATGGGGCAATGGGTTTTTAATGAGTGTAGGGTTAGTTGGACGTTTTTTACAATTATTATTAAAAAATAATATTTGGTATTACAAATGTAACGTGATTGTCCACACACTACCGCACAGTAGGGGGCGGCATGCACAAACAAAATGTGCCAAAAGCCATGATACCGAAGAAGAATAACTATTATAGAGTACCAGTCAAAAGTTTGGAAACACCTAAGGGTTTTTCTTTATTTTTTACTATTTTCTACATTGTAGAATAATAGTGAACACATCAAAACTATGAAATAACACATATGGAACCATGTAGTAACCAAAAAGTGTTAAACAAATCAAAATATATTTGCCTTGATGACAGCTTTGCACACTCTTGGCATTCTCTCAACCAGCTTCAACTGGAATGCTTTTCCAACAGTCTTGAAGGAGTTCTCACATATGCTGAGCACTTGTTGGCTGCTTTTCCTTCACTCTGCCGTTGACTCATCCCAAACCATCTCAATTGGGTTGAGGGGGATTGTGGAGGCCAGGCATCTGATGCAGCACTCCATCACTCTCATTCTTGGTAAAATAGCCATTAACTCAGCCTGGAGATGTGTTGGGTCATTGTCCTGTTGAAAAACAAATGATAGTCCCACTAAGCCCAAACCAGATGGGATGGTGTATCGCTGCAGAATGCTGTGGTAGCCATGCTGGTTAAGTGTGCCTTGAATTCTAAATAAATCAAAGACAGTATCACCAGCAAAGCACCCCCACACCATAACACCTCCTCCTCCATGCTGGTGGTGGGAACTGCACATGCAGAGATCATCTGTTCACCCACACCGCGTCTTACAAAGGCACAGCGGTTGGAACCAAAAATCTCAAATTTGGACTCCAGACCAAAGGACAAATTTCCACCGATCTAATGTCCATTGCTCGTGTTTCTTGGCCCAAGCAGGTCTCTTTTTCTTATTGGTGTCCTTTAGTAGTGGTTTCTTTGCAGCAATTCAATCATGAAGGCCTGATTCACACAGTCCCCTCTGAACAGTTGATGTTGAGATGTGTCTTTGACTTGAACTCTGTGTAGCATTTATTTGGGCTGCAATTTCTGAGGCTGGTAACACTAATGAACTTATCCTCTGCAGCAGAGGTAACGCTGGGTCTTCCATTCCTGTGGCGGTCCTCATGAGAGCCAGTTATATCATAGCGCTTGATGGTTTTTGCGACTGCACTTGAAGAAACTTTCAAAGTTCTTGAAATGGTCCGTATTGACTGACCTTCATGTCTTAAAGTAATGATGGACTGTTGTTTCTCTTTGCTTATTTGAGCTGTTCTTGCCATAATATGGACTTGGTCTTTTACCAAATAGGGCTATCTTCTGTATACCCCCCCTACCTTGTCACAACACAACTGATTGGCTCAAGCGCATTAAGAAGGAAAGAAATTCCACAAATGTACTTTTAAGAAGGCACACCTGTTAATTTAAATGCATTCCAGATGACTACCTCATGAAGCTGGTTGAGAGAATGCCAAGAGTGTGCAAAGTTGTCATGAATGCAAAGGGTGGCTATTTGAAGAATCTCAAATGTGAAATATATTTTGATTTGTTTAACACTTTTTTGTGTTATTTCATAGTTTTCACTATTATTCTACAATGTAAAACATAGTAAAAATAAAGAACAAACCCTGGAATGAGTAGGTGTGTCCAAACTTTTCACTGGTTATATATATATATATATATATATATATATATATATATATATATATATATATATTTACATCTACATAACAGGCCGTACTGCAAGTTTGTGCTGAGCCATTGATGGCCGGGGGTTGACCCTGCCAGCAGGCTCAGCACAACCACAGTTCACGACTGGGGGCTCACCCTGCGGGATGCCAGCTACCAACCCCGATCCACGCCAAAACCCTCATACAAACTCTACCAACTACTATGCCTTCTGACATGTTCGTCAGATGGCGAGACGCTGAACTCGTGAAAGTGATATTATTATAATTTTAAGGTTACATTTTTTTATTTTGATTTATACTTACAAAGGTAAGCTGAATTGCTGTGTACATACAGCACATGGCCTAGGCTGAAATAATCCAACAACAATACTCAAAGGAAAACAACAAAATATTTGGGATCTGGCTATTCCTGGGGCTTGGGTGAGGATCTTTAGGGCGGCTTCCCACTTCGCTCTGGTGGGCTCAATGCACACAGTCTCAACTGT